TTGATCCCATTTTGGGGATTGGGTGCACCACCCTTTTTCAGACTATTTCAGTGGGGATTGGGATGTTCACTGGGGGTACGGGTTTTTGTCCCATGGCCATTTAGTCTTTGGAACCATTTGCCAAGGCGGCAGTTTGGTAAAAAGTTCTCGAGCCACTGCCAATTGATTGGAGAAATTGATAGCAACTGATTTTACACGGGTCTTTGAGATCCTTCGAGTTACAGTAAAGTTGAGAAGCGGGAGCCAGATCTCTCTTGGCGGTTCCCAGCCGTCCCGATTCGATACTAGGTTTTCAAGGTTTGGGGGGGGGGGGGGGGCGGGGTTCTATTTAACCAAACTTTTAGCAGGCCCGGCTCTTGCTTCTTACGCTGGTGACCAGGAGAAGTACTGCATCGAGAATGGCTATGCCCACAATGCGCAGGTCATCTATGGCGACACAGACTCCGCACCTCGGGTTTGGATCAGAGAGACCAAGTGGGGGTTTCTTTTCGGAACTGCCCCCAGGCTGGGATTGGTGGTTTGTATTTGAATTACACCTGGTCCAGGGCAAATGGCTTGGCTTTCCCACACCCAAACCTCCAAACCGCCCACCGGAAGCTGGTGCATTGGGAATTAGACCAATCGAGGGTCCTTTTGCAGGAACCTCAAAGTGGTTCGACACGTTCCCGATCGGATGCGCCCATTGGAAGACGCCAAGAACCCTTCCATAGCTTTCCTCGTGGGCTTCGGAAGAACTGTGGTTAAGGTTTTTGCACGGCCAGTAGGGAAAGAGGGAATGAGGGAATGACATGGGTGTGATGGTCACTTGGTAGGCAAGAGGCCCGGAAAAGCGAAGAAGTGGCCTTAACCAGCAAACTAGCCATAGCTGGTTGACTAGCTTGCCAAAATAGGCAGGTGCCAGGAAACTAGCTAGGCGCGCAAATTATCAGTGCACCACGCTGCAAAGTGCCGGCTGTCGCCTGCAGACGGCCCTGAGCCAAGGAGCAAAAAGAACTGCGCTGGCATGCATTGGAGCATGTTGTAAAGTAGAGTTGCGCTGGACTGTAGGGGCAGCTTGAGGGATGATTCAGAGAAACGGCTCATTCCAAAGAAACTCGGGAAGATATATCGCCCACAGCGATCCATGAAGCTTCTGAGGTGATGGTGAAATTCGGAGTGGATACTGTCCCAGAGGCCATGCGCTTGGGCCAAGAGGCGGCAGCGCCCCGGCCGCGGAGAAAGCAAGCATTAAGTTAGTTTTCCTTTGGTTTCCCTTTAAAAAAGCACACACACACACACACAAACAACAAGACACCCTCAAAAAAAGGCGAGCCACCCATTTGCTTCCCGTGGAGTTGTGCATATTGAGCTCCGAATGCGAACGCAGAACTGCCCCCCCCTCCACCGGAAGATGAGGCTGTGATAAGGCCTAGTGGGGTAATGAACTGGAGGAAACCGAGCGGGGGGTGGGTGGGTGGGTGGGTGGGTGGGTGGGTGGGTGGGTGGGTGGGTGGGTGGGTTGGTGTGGGTGTGGGTGTGGGTGTGGGTGTGGGTGTGGGTGTGGGTGTGGGTGTGGGTGTGGGTGTGGGTGTGTGTGTGGGTGTGGGTGTGGGTGTGGGTGTGGGTGTGGGTGTGGGTGTGGGTGTGGGTGTGGGTGTGGGTGTGGGTGTGGGTGTGGGTGTGGGTGTGGGTGTGGGTGTGGGTGTGGGTGTGGGTGTGGGTGTGGGTGTGGGTGTGGGTGTGGGTGTGGGTGTGGGTGGGTGTGGGTGGGTGTGGGTGGGTGTGGGTGGGTGTGGGTGGGTGTGGGTGGGTGTGGGTGGGTGTGGGTGGGTGTGGGTGGGTGGTGTTGGATGCTATGATGTCGGAGGCTGTTTGAATTGTGTTCAGCTGTCGGAGTGCCGGAAATTGAGAGTGCCGGCCCCGAAAGCCCAGGATTTGGTGAGTGCAACTTTCACCAAGCCAATCAAGCTCGAGTTTGAGAAGGCGCACTCAAGTCTTGAAGCATTGCTTTGTGAGAGGGGCGCCTTTTCCAAGATCTGATTGGAAGCCGATGTATGGGGATGGAGACATTGTACTGGTCATGTTGGCGATGGGGTATGAAGGTGTATTACCCTTACCTGCTGATGAACAAGAAGCCCGGCGCTCGGCTCATGACCCGAAGGGCTTTGGCAGTTCAATGGTGGCAAGGCGCTACGCTGGCCTGTATTGGACCAGCCCGGAGAAGTACGACAAGCTCGATGCGAAGGGCATTGAGACGGTTCGCCGCGACAACTGCCCCCTGCCCAAAAAAGAGAGGAGTCACGGGCGCAAGAGGTTTGGCGAGAGGAGGGCAAGAGAAGCTGAATTGTAAAACGAAGGTGGCGGAATGTACCCTCCCACCAATTGACATGGAACCTGGCCGGGGGGGGGTCCTGGAAGACCATTTTCCTTTTAAAGGGACCCCCTGACAGCTTCCATGTTACTTGGCGGGAGGGTAATGATCGCAAGGGCAATGACCGTTGATTCTCGGGATGGACCGTTTCGGCACAGGTGGTCTCGTACGGCAGCTGGTGGAGACATCGCTGAGGACAATCCTCATTGATGGGTCTGTGCCCAAGGCCAGGCGTTGGCATAGCCTACAAGCAAGACCTAATTGGCGGTGGCTCAAAAAACCGGTACCAACATGGAACCCTGGCAAGTGGACACCTGCGCTTGGCCCCCGTTTCATTTTGAGCCACGCCCAATTGTCAAGCGGAGGGTGCTAGGTTGCTCCCAACCACAAACAGGTTCGTTTGGCCTTCCGATTCTTCACTGGGTAGGCCCCTGAAATTCCTCCGGCCTTCCGATTGGTCGCTGGGCCCCTTGAATTGCCAGGTTTTCGCTCCTTAAAAAGATACATTTTGCAACCATTTGAAACATGGCCTTTTCCCTCAAAATAGAGGAAAACCACCATTTACAAGGATCCTTGTTGGTGTATAATGTAAGGTGTATAATGTAAACTACCATTTAAAGGTGTATAATGTAAGGATCCTTGTCGGGGATGCAGGCCATCGAGATCGCTCAGAAGGCTGCCGGTGACTCAAAAAAGTTTCGCCAGCGAGCGCGTGGCCTGTGGGCGTGGGGCGCGGCATGAGGTCTCCGACCTGCTGCAGAACAAGATCGACCTCTCCCTGCTAGTGATCACGAAGCGGCTCGCTTTGCAATAGCTCTTATAATGATAAGATTGTAGTGGAGATAGCAGATAAGGTGATTGGACATTATATGTATATCATCAAACAAATGGTATTATTTGTACATTTATCAATTATGCATATTTGAAACATGCGGGTTGAGGGTTGTCAAGGTTCCCGTCGTTCTAGAACCACGCCCTTGCGCGTGGTGGTTCTGCACCATCTTAGGTCCCTGGGCAGAGGGGCACATGCGGAGGCCCGCTCGCTGAAGTAGCATCATTTGCTGACAACAATTGAGTTTTTTGACGGGTTTTCTTCCAGCTTTTTGGGGAGGTTGAAAAGGGCAACCCACTCCTTTAAACTCGACAAACCAAAAAAAGGGATGCCCTTTTTTTCCCATGGCCACTGGGCATCGGAGTGTTGGGGGTCCATTGCCTATGTTGACACAATGCCAGGACTACGCGGTGAAGCAAGCTCACGTGGAGCTGGCAGAGCGCATGCGAAAGCGCAAGCCTCATGATTCTTGGGGCATTCTGCGGCTGCCTCGTTTGTGCGGAAGACGGATTTTGAGTATATTTTGCCTGGGTTTCACCTCGACATATGAATCCTCCAGGGCCCAAACCTTTTTTTTTTTTTTTTTTTTTTTTTTTGGGTTTTTGACCTTTTCGGGTGGTTGAGACCCCCCGTTCTGCGGGCCCGGGCGTCTTGGTCCTTCATCGGCGATTCGGCCGGCGATTCGGTCGGCAATTGGTCGTGCGAGGCGTGACCCGACGACGGCGCCGGGCAGCGGGGACCGGGTGCCATACGTCATCGTGAGCGGCTCCAAGGGCGCCAAGGCGCTGCGGGCGGGGTGCGTTTGATCCGAGGCTTGGGAGAGTCGGAGGTCGGAGGTCGGAGGTGGGGTCATTTGAAAGATGCTCTTTTTTTTTGGTTTGCGTAAAATGTGTTAAAATGTGTGGCTGAAGGGCAGACTGAGGGTAAAGAAAAACACACACCCACACACACACACCCACACACACAGAAGTTTTTGAGAAACTCCGTGAGGAATGCAACCCCTGAAAGAGGGACGCAGAGTGCAAGCTTGGCTTGCTGAGGCCTACGAGCGCAGTGAGGACCCTCTCTTTGCCCTGGAGATGCTTGGCATGTGCATTGTCAGCTTCTTGCTTTTGTCCTCCCAGTCGCCACGGGAGTCTCAGCACCCCCCCCTTAGCACTCTGGCTTTTTTTTGGAAGCTGAATGCAGGGAATGATTTCTGTCCCGGCTGCTGGGAAGCACTGAGGAACAATTTATCTATTGATGCGCAGTATTATATTGAACATCAGCTCCAGCTTCCACTTCTGCGAATCTTCGGTCCTATCATGGGTTCCTCGGGTTGCATCGTTCCACGTTTCGCGCTCTTCGCTTTTCGCCAAGCGCGAGATCCCCACCCTTGAACATGGGTTGATTGGGGAAGAGGGGATGGCCGTCTGGAGATCTCCATTGGTTCAGGCCTTAAGGTGGGGGGATTCGTTGAAGGTGACGACAGCAAAGCGCAGTCCCTGCTCTTCTCCGGCGCCCATACGCGCAAGCTGCACACGCCCACGCCTCAAGGCACGCTTCTGGTGGTGGGGGTAGGGACTGGGGTCCACGATGCAAAAATCAAGACTTTGAGCAGTTCTCCCTTGACAAACCACCAGGTGGCTGCGGCTCCTCGTTTTTTTTTGGGGGTACACGTTTTTGGTGGTTTAACAGGGGCAACCAAAAGGAACACCGAAGCCTTGTTTTTTTTTTGGGGGGAGCCTCAAAAGAAGGACTCACCCATGTAGAGCCGAATATCTTTTGAGGAAGTCACTTGCATTTCGTAAGGACCAAGCCTTCTCCCCCTGCCCCCTCCCCTCTCCCCCACTAAACACCTAAGTTGATTTCCCGCAATTGCATTGGATTCGAAATGGACTTGGACTTGATGAGAATCCCCCCCCCTCCCCCCCCCCAATCCCTCTCCCAATCCCCACCCCCAATCCCCCCCTTCCCCGCGTTGATCTCGCCGGCAGGCAACGCCCTGGCCAAGTTTGTGACGAAGAGCTTGCGGTGCATGGGCTGCAAGGCCTCTCGGAGAAAAACAGGGTCGGGCAAGGGACTTGTGGCTCAAAACTTGGGTGGTTCTTTCGTTTTTTTTTCCTTGAGGTTTTTGGTTGTTTTTTTCTCCTTCTTTTGTTTTTCTTCTTTGTTTTTCTCCCCTCTTGAGGTTTTGAGTCGGTTTGACGTTTTTTTCTTCTTTTCCAGCCCTTTTTGTTTTCTTGTTTTTGTTTTTTTTTTTTTTTCTTTTGTTCTTCTTCTTTTTTTCCTTGAGGTTTTGAGTCGGTTTGGCGGGTTTTGTATTTTTCTTGAGTATTTTTTTTCCTCCTCAGGTAGTGTTTTTCAGGTTTTTAGTCGGTTTGGTGGTTGGGTTGCCGTTGGGCCAGCTAAAAGTTGAAACTTTGGCCGGAAATCTGGGGACAGCCCAGACAAGTACCCCCCCCCTCCTGGCGAAAACACGCCAGGCGATCATCAAAGCGGGGCTGTTGTGCGAGCACTGCCAGAAGGAGAAAGCCGCCGACGTGGCACGAATGCAATTGGAATCGTAAGATGATGATGATGATGATGATGATGATGATGATGATGATGATGATGATGATGATGATGACGATGACGATGACGATGACGATGACGATGACGATGACGATGACGATGACGATGACGATGACGACGTCGATGACGATGACGATGATGGTGATGGTGATGGTGATGATGCTGTGATGATGATGATGATGATGATGATGATGATGATGACGACGACGACGACGACGACGACGACGACGACGACGACGACGACGACGACGACGACGACGACGATGACGATGACGATGACGATGACGATGACGATGACGATGATGATGACGATGTCGATGATGATGATGACGCAAGTCTGAACAAAGAAGTGAGGTCCAAAGTTGGTCACGGATTTTTGAGCCCCTGGGCTAAGCCAATTCCTGAGTTAAAGGAACAAGATGAGCACAGACGGCACCAAGCTAAAACATCAGTCCCGTTTGGGTGAAGTGATGCGCTTGCCACTGCTAGGGTTGATTGACCTCACCCATCAGTGGGCACTTGCCCGCTAAGGTCGTGATCGAACAGATGCAGGAGTTTCGTCAGAAGGAGGAGGAGTACAACCGCTTGTGGACACAGTGCCAGCGATGCCAAGGAGAGCAGCACTGGGGAGCGAGAAGAGAGAGAGAGAGAGAGAGAGAGAGAGCGAGAGAGAGAATACGATCACTTACGTAAGCACAATTCAGTCATCCCCCCAATTGGAGACTGACCAGGTTGTCAAACAGTCATTCTTGCTGGTTCTGGGGATTCACCAGTCATTCCTCCTGAATTGGGGATTCTCCCTTGCAGAGCTGAAATACATACAGTCCCCGACGTGAAGCTTCTTCCTCCGAAAGGGGCCCCGTCTCGGATCCCCCATAGGAAGTCTGCTGGAGCCGGTGATTTGCTCCAACAGGGACTGCGAGATCTTCTACCGCCGCGCTAAGGTTCGGGCCTTTTGCGACTTCGACTTGTTCCACGTGAGGTGGTCAGAACATTCCCGTCTCCAAGTAAATGGATCGCAGTTGCCCTTGAGAACCCTTGTTTTTCTCAAGCAAAGCGCATGGGATGCCGTTGGGAGGCGAAGGGCATGTGATCAACCGGAAGCAATTCCTATTTGGGGAGCCATGTTTGCGTGAAGATGGTTGCAACCAAAGCTACCGGGACCCGAGGGTACGGCAAAGAACATGCTACTAGGTAAAACAAAAAAACTATATGTAGGAAGGGGGTTGATCCATGTTCCTGGCGGCCAAATGCCCAAGGGCATCTAGTGGAACATATCATCCTTTTGGTGGTTTTCACCAATGGTACTCCCATGCAACGGAGCTCTTGCTCCAAATTTCTCATGTCTTCCGCGGTTTTTTTCTTTCTTGGGGTAGTGGCTTGGGATCTGCCAGTGCCCCAAATGCCGATTTTTGGGGACCGATCCGCCCGAGCTGCGAGGCCCGAAAGGAGGCCAGGCGCCGCGCGTGTGGTGGTTTGGGCTGGGGCTAGACTCGCGCTCAGGGAAGCCGTGTTGTTGTTTTTTTTTTGCGCGGGGAATTCGGGTATGGTTCCAAAATTCAGCGAAGCACCAGGATATGGGCCGCAGGTTTGAGTCTTGCATTTACCAGGGAACCCATTTTGGGTACCCATCTTTTGCGCAGCTATTTGCCTCAAATGCAAAAGCGCTTTTCTTGAGATGCAGCGATTCTGGCTGCTCCTGCAGGTGGTGTGCGCTTCGGCCAGCGGCCTGGCACTGGAGTCGGATGACGAGTGCGCCGAAGGGAGCTGCGCGATGAACGCGCTGCAACTGCAAAGGTCCGTTCAAAGCAACGAGGGCTCTGCAAATGCCTCGGAGTTGGAGGCCTGGAGCGGGTCCTGCGCCGCCTATGGCTGTGGGGCCTCATACAATCGACACCGCTCATGTCAATGCAACTCCAACTGCAAGCACTACCGCAACTGCTGCTATGACTACGATGCCCGCTGCCACAGCGCCCACAGCGCCCCAGCGCCAGCCCCCGCGTCTAAGTCCTCCTGTTCTGCGATTCCTTCGTGTGCAGGGTTGGGCGGGGAGTGTTGTCCTACCAAGGCCGGCATGTACTTGGGCTGCTGCCCAGAGAGCATGATCCCTCATGCCGAGGCCCCGCCGCCCAGGTTTGAGAACGGCAGGTCGGTGATGACAGTGTATCACCAGACCAGCCCGGAAGCCTGCCAAGGAATCCTGGCCACGGGCTTCCGGATCGGACATGATGGGTGGTGTGGCGGCGCCATCTACTTCGCCATGACGCCGGAAGCAACGAAGACCAAGGCCATCACGCCCCATTCGGGCATCGGGTGCATGCTCGAGGCCAAGGTGAACGTGGGGCACGTCAAGAAGTATCCTTGCTGCAGGTACTGCGGTGGGCATCAGGATCAGCACATCGCTTGGACCAAGGGCAGCCTGAAGTCAAAAGGCTACGATTCCATCGTGATCGATCCGGGGGATGGGCCCGAGCTGGTGATTTACGACAACAAGCAGGTGATGAGCCTAAGGGTAATTCCTTTCAATCCGGCCTGGACGCCTCACAGGATGCACGGAAACTGGTGAGTCTGAGCCTTGCGAATTCACAGCCGTCGTATTTTCCCTTGCCTGCGCGATGCCAGCGACCCGAACTCAGAGCCATGTAAAAAGAGGCATCATTTGCTTGTACTCGCGACTATCCCCATGTTTGCGGACGGTCCAGTTTGGCCAACTAAGCCACAGGCAAATTGACACGCCCGACTTGAGCAGGTAGCCCGAAAGCAACCAACCCAGCATAAGGACACTCTCCCAACAGGCAGCACCCCTACGGACCTTCGGCTGACGTCCGGGCCAGGTGCAGATTGCGCAGGAGCAGCTTGCGCGGCTAAAGCTGGACTGGTGAGTTGCCGGGGGCCTGGCAGGGGCCGAATACTTGATCAAGGGCTGGCAGACATCTTTGGCTGTATCCGTTTTTCAGTGATAGCTGCCATAGCCTATACACCTTAGGATGCATGGGAGTCTCTTGTTGTATGCTGAGGCAGCCTTACGATGAGATGACTTGCTGCAAGTCATGGGGGGAGAGTGTGAGCCCCTGCCAAATCTGGGATGCTTCTGGCTGGAGAGGAGGACATGACTTCATCCGCGGTCGAATGCAGATGTACCTTTGCCGGTTTTTTTGCTTTGGACAGTGGCTCACTGGGCAGGGGAATCTTGCCACTTTTCTCACCACGCCAGGGGTTCTCAACCAATGAGCTATATAAGTGAATAGTCTTGTAGCGGGTTAAAGGTTAGTTTTGGTTTCACTCCCTGGCGTGCAGGGGCACATCAGTCTCTCACACTGGGCAGTGTGAGAGGGGGGGGAGCGGGCAGGGTGAGGCACACCCTGCGACGCGCGCGAGAAAATGCACATTTCATGGGGCTGAACCTTGGTAGCTGGTGAGCAAACTACAGCATACAAGGGGTGGACATAAATGCTTGTCAAGCTTCATGTGTATGGTTGTTCTGAGCTTTGCCCGCTTGCGTTTTCCTCGGAGCCTGACCTTTGGGGCTTGATACTTAAGTCCGATAAGGCAGGCGTGGGCGTGATGTTTTGAGGGCACCCCTTCTAGGGTGGTTTTAGAAAGAAAATCCGAAGCAAAACAAGCTCTCTCTCTCTCTCTCTTTTTTTTTTTTTTGGGGGGGGGGCGATATTTTTTTGGGACTAACCCCCCGTGCTTCAGTACGAGTTGCAGTCTTGGCTCAAGCCTAGCGGGAGACTGGCAGCCAAGGTGATCGTTCGAAGCGGCTCGGTCTGAAAGGCTGTGCCCATCTTGCGGGGCTGGACGGGCGAGCTACGCTCGTGAAAGGGCAGTGTGTCTTTTGAGGGTGCCGTTTCTTTAACCAGTGAATGTCTTTCAAGGGGAAACCACTGGGAAACCACTGGGAAGTTTCTTTTTGATGTCTTTCAAGGGGAAACCACTGGGCCAATGAATGTGGGGCTCCAACTCCCTTTTGGCATTTTGGCCTAGAGTTTTGTGGGTGTCTGGGCGCGACGCGTCGAGAGGCCTGAAGATGTTCCAGCGCTTGGCTTAGTCTGTCCGGCCAGCATGAAGCCGTAGCGGATGGGGATATTCAAGGGGAAGTTGATTCGCGGCCGCGCGATTTTGTGGCGAAACAACCCCTTTCCCACACAAAGGGATCTTCTCCGAGCTTCCCTGTGACAACAGTGGGTGTGAGAGATGGTGTAGGTTTGGCGGGCTACCAACCAGCCCTGAAAATCCGACTCAGGACAGAGAAGCTCGGACCTCAATGATGGTTGGGCTCCACTCGTCCTGCAATGAATGGCCTTTTAGCCAGAAACGCCCAGCGTAGCGCGGTTCCTTACGGTTCATGTGTCTTGGCAACCTGAACTCAGAAGTGAAGGAGAAGTGAAGGGGAAACGAAGGAGACATGGGGCCAACCTATGGGGGGCCTTGCGCGCGAGGCCCGATGAAGTGGAGAGGAAATGCCCAGCACTGAGCTCAGCTCACAGCTCGCAGCCACTATCACCTGGCCGAGGCACCGACGTTTTCTGGATCTTGCCCTTCCTTGCAGCGGTTGGATACCTCGTCTGGGCCGGGCGGCTGAGTGTTTTCTGACTCAGCCGGAGAGGAAAAAAAAACACAATCTCATCGCTGAGTCCTACTACTGGGCAGTTGGTCACGGGAGTCTCCTGGAGTTGCCGGATGCCAAGATCCGCTGGGCAGGGCTGAAGCCTATGGATCGATCCAGGGCTCAACGCCTGGATCGCGAACCGTACAAACCAACTGGCAGGCTCGAACGCAAACTTGAAACCCTATGTTGTGCGCAACCTGAGATGTACTTGGAATTTTGCCGGCGTTGCTGAAGCAAAGCAGAGAGCCAGACAGACACCAACACGGACAGAGGCAGAGACACACCCGCCCGCCCGCCCGCACGACGCACGCACGCACGCACGCACGCACGCACGCACGCACGCAGAGCCACACACACACACACAGACAGACCCAGGTACACACAGACAAAGACGCAGACACGGACACAAACGCGGACACAGACACAGACTCGGACACGGACGGACAGACCAGACAGACAGATACACACACACACATACCCTTTGGGAGTCAACATGAGCTTTTGAACAAGTTGGGTTACACAGCGGGTTGGAGGGCGCAGTGCTGCCTCGGCAAACCCCGGTTCAGCCTCAAACGTCCTGAAGGACAAGGCATTCAGCCGAAGAACCTAAGGTTTCAAGCAAAATGAGCCTGGATCGCAGGTTTGAGGTGCCTTTTGTTGTGGAATTCCCTTTGCTTTTGGCTTAGATCCAAGTCCATTGCGGTCTCTCAGGACTGGCCTTCCGAATGGTGAAGGGTGCACGGCCCCAGCGGGTTTTGGAGAATGCGTCGAGCGGAATGAGAACGGGCGAGCCTGTGGCTATGACTTTCCGTTCTTGCGCCTCCCAACTTGTTGGGCATTTCTCCGGTAAAGGGTCCCAACAAATCGGCGAGAATCGCCCAAGTTGAACTCAATGGCTGGCTGACCAAGAATCGTTTGGGTTCCCGCCCTCGGTTTGGATTCGTTCGGATTTGGACCATCCCCCGATCCCCAAACCCCCCCAAACCCCCCCTCTCGCCATCACTCTCGGCGCCATGAGAACAAGGCTGGTCTGTGGCGTGAGCGAGCCAGTGGCCAGAGCCTCGGAAGATTCGACTTCCTGTGGCAGGGAAGGGCTCGGTCGAGAAAGATGGGAGATCGGGCCCTTCTTTTTGGGGTGTTCCCGGTTTTTTTTTTTTTTTTTTTTTTTTTTTTTTTTTTGTGGGGGGGGGGGGAAGCCACAAGAACACCAAAATCCATCTTTGAGGAGACCAAAAAAACACGCCCCATGTTTTCTGGCCCCATCTTTCAGGTGCCAGCAAACACCTGGCGCTGTGCTTGTGGGGTTTGCGCGTGAGGCTAATATGCCATACCTCTACTTGTGCCCAGTGACGCCTGCGCGCTTGGGGGGCGGCTGTTTGATCAATGCGAAGCAGGAGAAGAGGATTTGTTCGGAGTGGTCAAGCAAGGGGCGCGCAGTTTCTCAAGTGCCAGCTAGGAGGAAAGCAGATTTTGACAGAGGAACTGCCATATTTCATGGGTGGCGCTTGTGGTCAGAAATTGTGTTTTTTTGGGGTGCCGCGTCCGTCAAGAGGGCATAGAGGGCAGATTTGTGGCAGGCCGTGAAGGCTGCGCCATCCGACTTGGCCGGTACCTGAGATGCCGGTCGAATATGCAAAGCCAAAGCCTTCCTCTTGTCATGGCCGCTGGAACTACAGACCATTGGCCACCTGGCAAAAACAAGGTGAACTTCTTTGAAGTTTCCTGCTGGGTTCTGGGAGCTGTGTGAAAGTAAGCCTTCAGGTCTGTGTCTCGGAGTGCCCCTTGAGTCGCGGCCCTGGAGTTAAGAGAGAGAGAGAAGGAGCCCGGAGGAAAAACTCAGTGGGTGTGTTTTGTACAGGTTTTCTCTTACTCTAACTGGATTGTGCGGCTTCCTATCACAAGCCATCAGAACTCCGACGGTCTGAGGTATCGAAGGCCAACTGACCAAGAGCTACTGTCCTCACAGCTGGGGCCCCATGCCTCGTGCCATGCCTCGCGAGTCGTGGCGCTGCGACCGTTTTCGTTTTTGGGGAGGAGCTGTGTGCCCTTTCCCGTGAAGCAGGGTTGTGGGATCACTCGGGGTTTTTCCCCACTTCTGTGATACAAGGGAATCTCCCCCTTTATATTGGGGGTTAGTCTTTGGGAAACCCTTTTTTTGTATCACAGAAGTGGGCATTTCCCACAGCCCTGCCGTGAAGGGAAGAACCACGGCAGAGAAGGGTCCCGAACGAGGATTCTGGGGGGGTGTCAGGAACACATGGTACGGATTTTTGTGGCACACACACACGCGCACACACGTAGCTTGCTGGCATCAGCCACCGAAGGAGTTCCGTCGACTTAGGCCCTCAGCCAGACTATCCCTCCATCCCTGTGGCAGGGAAGGTCTGTTTCCCCACAGCCCGGCTCTGAGAATAGCCTTGCGACCGAAGGCCTTCTCTCGTACAGGGGTGTGTTCGCTGAGGCCACTCTCTTTGGGGGTTGCAGTGGAGGGAAAACACAAGCAACGCTATTTTTTTTAGGCACCTCCCCTTTTTTGACACAAAAGAATTCTAGACCCCCACAAAGGAGTGGTCCTCAAAAAGCGGAACCACACCCAGGACCGGCAAGTGGTTGGGGATGTGAAGCTCTGCGCCGATCGAGGATGCACGGCGGCTGGTGACCTTGAACCACTTAGCCTTCAGGATGGGCATGCCGCGGCCTCAAAGTTGCAATCCCTACAAACAAACGCGCACTTGGGTGAGTTGGTCTTTTTCACTTGGTACCCGTTTCAGCTTTGTTTAGGGCGACCAAAGCAAAACCGCATGGCTGGGGGTCCCGCTATTTTGACACACGCACACACGCACACACACACACACCCACACCACACGCACACGCACACACACACACATGTAGCGCTGGACACGTGCCGCTCGCCTGCACGCCTGGGCCGCGTGAGGGACAGCTTCCTGGCCGTGATGGTGGAGGTTCAGAAAGCGCAGGGAGCCCAGCGCGCAACAGCGTTTTTGTTTTGTTTTGTCTTTTTGGAGAAACATCAAAAGGGTGGGGGAATTCCTTTCTACCAACCCCAAGGGTATTCTCAAAAGAAGACAGACCCTTTGCTCCCGCGATCTTTGAGGGACCGCGGCTTGATCCAAGGGAACAAACGGAGTGCTTAGTTCATGGGAAGGCAGACGCTGCCAAAGCCAACTTTTGGGCATGGTCAGTATTCGGATTGTCAGGCCCTGGTCTCGCGAGTGATTGCTTTGGCTGCAGTGCAGTGGTCAGCTTTAGTTTTTCCATGGCTTAGCTCATCGAACTGCTGAAATCTCCTAAGTGGTGGGCAATCCTTGGCTGGCTAGGCTGGCTGGTTTGCTTGTTCCATCCTCGGCTTTCAGGTGGCCGGCCTTCGTCGTTTCGGGATGCGTGGTGGTGATGATCTGACGGGGCCTGAGAAACTGCCATGCTGCTTCCCGTGTCGATTCGCCCGATCCGATTCCAGGCTTCGCCTACCTCAAGGTCTTCAGAAGCAATCTCAGTTGCCTTGAACTGCCACCCTCTTTCCACCAATCGTAAAACTCTCCTGCGAGCTTTCATGATTGATGGAAAGAGGGTATGCATTGATGCAGCGGTCCTCCCGCAGAAGCAAGCTGAATGCAGACCAAGGCCAAAACCCCTCGACCTTTTTCTGGGCGTCGACAGGATTCTTCACCGTTGCAGGGGGCCTGGCCAGTTGTGAGTCGGCATGCCGTTGTCCCTGCTGGATGGGCACACGGTGTGGGCAAGGTGCTGGGTTTGATTGGTGCGATATCAGTGCACGCGCCTTAGTTCGGCAAGAGCCGTGTACTCAATTCGGTTGTTCTGTTTCATGCCCCCATGTTTGGATGACTGTTTCCGTGCGCAGGATTGATGCCGTGAATCTGGAGTTGGAGCTGGGAGGACGCGGGGTTTTCTTCATGCCCGGTGGAGCATTGCACTTGCCAGATTTGTGGGACCTTGTCTCCAACCTCGAGTTCCTCATTGGCGTGTCCGCTTTGCTCATGGTCTGTTCCTCAGTTGGCTTCGGCGCTGTGCAAAGCGCACCGAGCCGTGGGCGAGAAACTGTGGGCAGCGCGGGAAGCGAGGTCATCGTGTTCCACATTGCCTGCTACTGCCACGGGCTGAGTTGGAGAGACTCACCACTTCGAGCTCCTGGAATCTGCACAACCCGTGACACTGGATGATTGAAGTAAGCGCAACGCCTAAGACAGACAGACACTCACCCAGTCGCAGTCGGCGGAGACACCAGCTTGTTTTTTGTTGTTCAGCTGTTCTCTGACAGTTGCTTGTGCACGTGGCTGTCACATTCTACGCTTTGCTGAGTTGATGGAGAGAACTTGAAGAATGCCTTCCAAGCGGTGAAGGCTGGCTGGAGCTGGCTGGAGCTGGCTATGAGCTTCGCGATTGTGGTCGAAACACATCGGCGTCCTCCCAAAGGGCATTTCGTTTCGCGCATGAGCCGGGTGTCTTGATTTTTGAAAGGGAGCACCCATCAAAATGGTTGGACACAAATTTCAATGTAACTGACGTCAACCAAGTTCCCAAAGAGATTTCACGGCGATTTGATTGGTCCTGGTGGACTCGGAATTAGCTTCTCTCCCAAACTGATCCGGAGACCTTCTTGAATGGGAGGTGTCCCCTCAAGAAACAAGACATCCTGGGGTTGATAAACCCGCTGCCAAAAAGAAGCGCAGCAAGCTCACCACGGGTTGATGATTAATGCCCCAAGAGACAATCTCATGAATCCCCCCATCAAAACCCCGACAAAGAGGAGAGAAAAACAAGTGCAAGAGCCAAGATAACCATCCCCCATGGGTGTGTCTTTTTTTTAAGGGGAACCCCCAACGTGGCTGGGTTTCCCTTTTGGCCCCCCTTAAAAAAGACGTCTCAGAAAAAAGGGTACCCTCAAAAGAAACATTTTAGTACTACTGCTGCTGCTGCTACTACTCCTGCTGCTGCCACCACCACCACCACCACGACGACGACGACTACTACTACTACTACTACTACTGCTACTGCTACTGCTACTGCTACTACTACTCTACTACTCACACTACTCCTACCGGTACTGCTACTATTATGACTCTACTATTCATATTGCTGCTGCTGCTACTGCTACTATTACTACTCTACTACTCATACTACTGCGGCTGCTACTACTAGTATTTTTTTAAATTACTATTGCTATTACTATTATTAGTATTATTATTACCATTCCTTTTCCATTAGGAAACCCTCACTTTGGGTTTCACTTGCCCTCATTTTGGGTTCAGGCTTAGGGTTTTCCTTGCCCTCAAAGCACCCGTTTCGGTTTAACTTTGGGTTTACCTGAAACCCTCACGTTAGGGTTCAGGTCTTTGGTTTCACTTGCCCTCATTTAGGGTTCAGGTTGAAAGTTTAACTTGCAGGGTTTGGTTTTGGGGTTTACTGCGGTCAAACCCCCCACTTTAGGTTTAGGTTTAGGGCTCAGGTTTAGGAATTTTCTTGCCCTCAAACCACCCGTTCAGGGTTGATTTTTGGGGTTTAACCTGCCCTCAAACCCTCACGTTAGGGTGTGGAGAGCTTCACTTGTCACCTTCTAGGGGCAGATGGAGCTTCCGGGGGGCCTCACGCGCTCAGATTCCTTTGCGACTGCCAGCGTTTTAGCAGATATCGAACGGTCTGCCCTTAGAACACGCAGAGTGCTTGGTTTTTGGATGGGTTACTCTGTGGATTTTTTGGGACTACCCTGGGCTCAGCCAGAAGTTAGACCTGCTCGACTCGGCTCGTCGGCTTCCTGCAGGCCTGCGGGGAATGCACTCGCGACGTCCCAGCGATCCTCACGGAGCCGGCCCTGTCCGCGGCGCGGAAGGCGATTTGCCGACCGGTTTTAGATGGGGGTGGTTAGGTGTGGGTCAAAGTCTGCTACTGTTGACCCCGTGCAAATCAACCCCCCGTTTGGAAATGGGCCCCCCAAGAGGCCAAAGGTGATCAATCCCTAGTGAGAAACAGGGGTTGCTTAATATGGGGTCAACATGAAATGGAAGCAAGGACTGGAACTTGGTTGTTCAGTGTGTGTCTTGGGGGTGCCCCGTTTTTGGTGGTTTCAAAGGGGACCCACAAGGAAACCCAACCATTGAGTGTGGCTCTAATGGGGGGCTCTTAATTAGAATTGATGGCTTCTCTTTCTTTGTCAAATCGCTGAAAATCACAACCCCAGAAAGGGTATTCGGCCCCCACAAAGACACCCGAATGTGGGTGAGTTTTGAAGCGGACGCTTTGGTGGGCATCATTTAGGGATTCACGTGCGACCACTTTTGAGGTGGTTTGCTATTGAAGTTTAAACGGAGCATTTGCGCGCGAGCCTTGCGCCTCAAGTGGTATATCTGTGGTTTTCCTTTTTGGATTCCCAATTGGCCTGAGACGTGGGTCTGTCGTTTTGAAATCGGCGCCCTGTTCGGGGGCGCAAACTCCCTTGTCCCGTGGGATTCCCCATGGGACAAGCCCAAGTGTGGGGGAACAGCCGGCGGCTGGCCTTTTTTCCGGACAAGGTGCAAAGGTTAAAACAACCAGGGAAACCCAAAGGTGGTGAAGTGATGAGTGCTTGAACTTGCTGGTTCCCACCATCCCCTCAGCCTTTTTAGCTCTTTTTAGGGTTTGGGGGTTGGGTTTCCATTTGGCCCACTAAAAGTTGAACTTTCAGCAACGGATCTGAAAACGGACAGCCCAGCAAACCATGTTATAATGGGTTGGTCCATCGGCACAGATTCTGAGCTAGGAGCAGCGTCCACATCTTCCCATTGATTGTCAGCTTGCCAGGTCCGTTTTGGGGCGGTGAAAACGCTTCCGAGTGAGCCCACCGTCTCATAGGACAGAGAGTTCTGCCTGAAAGACTGCAGAGATTTTGCGAGGTGTTTATCTTGATCAACGCGGCGGTCGGTCCAGCACTGAGACGCGTAAGCCGACAAACCTTTACGATCTTTTACGGAATTGGCCGCTGCCAATTCCAAGTTTCCGTTAGAAGGAAGAAAGTTCGACGGTCCCCAACCTGACAGACAGGTGGCCTCATCTCTCGGTGACTCTTGGGACACCGCTCAAGACCCCTTTCGTGGAGTGCCCTGAGGTTTGATGTTCTTTGCATCTGGTTTTGACCGTGTCACGGATGGCAATACCGTGGAAATCCACTACAAGGCCGCGCCGGACTTGACCATGGGAACGGATGTGGCAAAGCTTCCACAGCACTTGTAGGCTTCTGCCATGTTCCACACGTACGCCATATGCGTTGTGGGATGTGAGGGACATCTCCTGAGCAGTTGGTGAAACTGTGATTTCATAGCGTTTGATCAACTCTTCCCGGCAATGGCAGGCAAAATGTCTCTGGCTTGCCTTCGGTTTTGTCCTGTCGTTTATCTGGGTGTACGACTTCAGCAATGCAGTGTGGCGTCCTCAGTTAACGCGACACGCCAGCCATCCCCTACGCAAAATTCGTGCGCACAATGACACTTGCACTGGACATTTGCAGGGGCAGCCTAGGGTTGGCAAACTCTTGTGCACAATATTTTCTGGCCTGGTTTTTGAGAGAAACAGAGAGGAAGCGATCCGTATTCGTCCGACTCTTGTGAGTGCTTGGCATGCTTTTGAAGGGCTCGCAGGCTTCTGACTTCATAGGTCCATCAGAAGTGGTACAGAAAGACCTCCGTAGCTGTTGGTTGGCAGGGAGCAAAGGAGCAAAGGAGCTGGTAGCCAAATTTGCTTCTCAGGGAGCCTTTCGGAACCAGGAGTTCCCAGGCTGAGCCAAGCACCACACGTCTTCCGCCATGGGGTTGGGCCCACGGGGGCAGAAGAAGCTTCCCGAGGGCTCCTGGGGATCTGGTGGTTGGGCGGCTGGCAGTGGCAAATATCCCCAGCCCACCCTGGATCAGTGCCTTTGGATGGACCGAGCTTCCGGTTCCGGATCCGAGGATCTGAGCTTTCGGTTCCCTTTCCTCGGGCCGTTTGTGGGTCAGAAAACGGTTTTGGCATCGATGGTTGGTAGTTGAGTGGTTGATCCCATTTTGGTTGGATTGGGTGAATTCGCCATCCATTTTGGGCTTCCTATTTTAGTGCTTGGATTGAATTGGAGGTTCACTGGGGGCGCGATTTGGCTTTTGCCCCGTGGCGTTTAGGGAATGGACCATTTGGGTATGGGTCAAAGTTGAATCACCAGGATATGGACCACAGGTTTTAGTCCTTGTTTCCATTTACTAGGGCTTGCCCCATTTTGGGGTTGCTCGAATTTTGACCCAGCAATTTCTGAACCGTGTTGGTAGTAGGTGCACCACCCATTTCAGAACCTACTTTAGTGGGGATTGGGATGTTGAGGCTTTTGGCCGGCCATTTCAGTGGCCACGGGAATTGGCCGTCTGCCGGGCCTATCGGAGGTGCGAGAAGATCCGGCAAGACTTCCACGAGCTGCTGCTCCGGAAGTACGGCAGCATCGCGGGCGCGTGGAAGCAGATCGACGTGAACCAGGATGGGAAGCTCTCGTTCTTCGAGTTCCTCCGGGCGTGCCAGAGCCTGGGGGTTGGCAAAGGCGGGGAAGGGACAATTTCCGGGCCGGCGCCAGTTTTTTTTTAACCAGGCGGTGGAAAAAACCTTGAGCAACTTTCAAGAGGCACTCTTGTAATGAACCCCCCAAAATAGAATATCTGTCTCTGAACTGGGGTTCCTCAAAAATCCTTCAGAGGATGTCCTGGATCCTAGCCCGAGAAAAACAACAAAAGAAGCACAAAGCAGCAATAAGAATAACACTGATAAACATGATGATAATAACAATACTAATCACAACAATAAGAATACTAATAATAAAAACACGGGGATCCCCGGCAGCCTGCGCGGCTCTCCCCGAGGCGCACGCCAGATCTTCGGGGCCTTGGACCTCGACCGCAGCGGCTTCATCTCCATGTCCGAGGTGGACGCGCCGCTGGCGGAGATGATGACCAGCCTCGCCGTCACCATCTGGTCCGTCTTTGGGACCGTGGAGACCCTTGGCGGACTTGACGAAAGACCTCCTTTCTTGTATCTTTTTTTCTGTCTCTTTTCTCCCCCATTCTTTTTTTTCTCCCCCGTGACGGCCGTGGCGAAGTCAGGTAAGCCTCAATGGGTGGTTTGGAGGGTGTTTTGGCCAGTGAGAGAGGCACCCCGAATGTGCAAGCCACCGAGCCAAACCACGAATTAGAGGGAAGCTGAAAAAGATGGGCATGGATCAAAATTAAACCACCAGGAATTGGACCGCAGGTTTTGGTCCATGTTTCAACTCACCAGAGTCCCATTTTGGGTTTCTATTTTTGACCCACAGGATTCAAATTTGTGCGAGTCGTATCCGTTCCCCCCTCGTTCCAATTCCTCAAGCTGGAAGTTTTCAAAACCATTGTGTCAGCTTCCACGAGTTGGACCAAGCTCAAGCCCAAACCACCTAGAAGCCCAAACACACATAATGACATAGGCTCCAAAAGGTACGATAAGCTCAAAACCAGGAATAAACCAACCACGCTCCAAATCCTCCCCGGACGCGCCTGACATTCGCGCTGAGGAAGGCTTGGCGCAGCTGTTTCAACCGCCGGGGCGCCTTGCGAATCTCTGAGGAGGAGTTTATGGCGGCCACCCGCGAGCTCGGGTTCCGGGGCAACGCCTCCCACCTCTTCCAGGCGAGGTCCGGTGATTTTGTTTGGGGGGGGAGATTCTGGAGAGTGTGGATTGGAGGTTAGGCCAAAAGGCTGTGGCAATTTTGAGCCACACCCAAGACACCACAAGACGAGTGTTTGGAGAATCACTTTGGCGAGTTGAAGAGGGTTCCAGCACAGCGCTGTCGGGCAGGAGCTCGCGACTGAGCGGGCCAGCTCTGGGATCTCCCGGAAGGACCGAGGCTGATCTAAGGCGTGCACAGCGTGGCCTTTCTTGAGGATATGCTTGGGGTTGGTTTGAGGCTGCCAAAAGGCAGGAGGTTCCCCCCCATTTTGAGACAACCCCAAGGAAGTAGGGGAGGAAACAGCTTACAAAAAGGTAGCAGGCAAGATGTCTGCAGGAAGCCGAGGGATTGCTCGCAAGCAATGAGGATTCCGGTCCTCGGGCGTTCCATCAGAGTGTGTGTGTTTTCGTTTCTGCTTTTCCTTTCTGGGGTGAGATGAGGGAAAAAAAAAGCCAAAGGCGCAAGGCGCACCTCATGTTTCTCCTTTCCCATTTTTCGCACAGACGAAATGAGTTGCACCTTCTCTCTGGTTGGTTTTTTCCTGTAAGCTCGTCAGGTTCAGGCGGAGCTCACGGAAGACGTTCCCGCCGCCCCCTGACTCTAGGGGTACCTTCCATTTAACCATTCTTTCCATCCGAATCTTTCTAACCTCCGGAAGCCCAGCGAAAAAAAGCCGATCAGGTTTTTGAACAGAAGGATGGCTGAGAAGACCCCTGGCCCTGGCCCCCGTGGCCTTCTCGGCGCGAGGAGTTCGGCTTTCTGCACGTCTGGATCGCGGACGGGCAGCCGGACCGCATCGGCAGCGCGGAGCCGGAGAGCCGCTGGGCCAAGCCCGTGCAGGAGTGGCTGCCGCCGGTGCAGGAGCCGCGGTTCTTGTGGGACTTGCTTTTTCTTTTTTCAGGAGCTACTGTGGATGGGCGGAATCCTGCACCACTTTGAAACAATGGGAAACATTTATTTGTTGGGGGAATCATCATCCCAAGTTTTGTTGGGTGCTGTAAGGTTGTCCATCCCCAGTGCGACTCATTTTTTGCGGGTTTCCTTTTTGGTGTTTACTGGGATGGATCAAGTAGTACCCCCAGTTGGTGGTGTGGATGGGTCACAAGGATCTGGTGATCCAAGGTTGGGAGCGTTTCAGGAAGCATCATTAGATGGTTAGATGGTCAGACGAAGCATGGAGGTTTTTTGAGGCGAGAGCAGTGTGTTTGCGGACCATGCTGGGTATGCCTGGAAGCGGTGTCACATGATACGCATCATCTAACCTCAGCTTCGCCGTAGTGCGCGCGTCCGTCAGGTGCCTTTCCATTTCGTGTTAAAGCCGATGGTCCGGACAGGGTGTGAGCAGCATCAATTCATCTCACGCTTCAAATGGGGCACAACTATTCAGAGCTGTTTTGTTTGGCTGTTCCCAGAGCCCGACATGGTTGTGGAACAGAAGAACGGGCTGTCAGGCTCCCCTTTCCATTCTCGCTCAAAGACCCAAGCATTCTTGGGAGCATCGTTCTTGTTATTTGGGTTTGGCTCCAAATTAAAGAGCTGGGGATACACAGGTTTTAGTCCTTGGCTCTATTTACCAAGGTGCCGTTTTGGTACATCAATTTGAGCCACACCCATTTGTCATTCTTTCGAACTCGGCATCCTAGGCTCAAGCAACTCACCGGGCCGCCCTGATTCACGGGGTCGCCGTTTGGGTGAAGCGGCGCCCGCCTGGGGGCCTAGGGGTGTCTCTCTCTTTTTTGATGGTGCCCTGGTGCGCTTGGGCTCAAACGGGTGTTCCCCCATTTTGGGACGGCCCCCATGTTTTGGAACCGGGGAACCGCGTGCCACGCTCCTGAGACATTTGTTTTAGCATGTTTTTGAACCCCGGCAGGAAGCGGGCAAGACGGATTGGCGGAAGCAGTTCAAGACGCTGCTCCTGAAGTCGTACCAGAACTACGTCCGCGCCTGGCGAATGGGCCTAGACAGGGACCACAACGGGCATTTAGATTACAACGAGCTCCTTGGCATAGTGGGACCCCCAGAAAAGATACACTCCTGGTTGATTACTAGGGTGTCTCCTTTTCGCATTTTTGTGTGGCTTTGGACGGAGCACCCCCACACAACAACACCCAGAAGTTTAAGGCCAAAGAATCAACCATGCCTTTCGTTTCAGGGGACCGGCATCTTTATGCATCTGGGTTTGTCTCCAAACTCGGGGACCGACAAAAAGGGGTGGCTTTTGGTTTTCCCGTTGTTTCTCTTTGAAACCAAAGGTACCAACTGGCAAAGACTCTAGGGGTTGGTTCCCCATTCTGTCCAACGATCATTCTTTTCAATCACCGATCGCTGTCTCTCCTGGGTTTTCGATTTCCTGAAAAGAAGGCTCCCTGGAAAGAATGGAAATGGAAGCTTCTCCCAACTGGGTGGTTTTCCCTCGTTGTTTCCCTCAAAAAAACACCCTCCTCAGGCGAACCGTTCCGTTCACCCAACTCCCTAGAAAGACGCCTGAACTTGTCCCATGTTTTTTCCCGAAAACAACGGTTCAACCAACTCCCCTAACGTGGGTTCCCCCCCAGTTGTTTCCCTTAAAACCGCCCTTCCCAGAAGGCTAACCGTTTCACCAACTCCCCAAGACAGCACGGCGCTCTCAGCTGAGGTTCAAGATGGCCGTCAAGGACGTGGGCTTCGCCGGCCATGCGCGAGAGCTCTGGGAACAGCTCGATGAGAATGGCCCCTTGGCTGTTCAACGCGTCGTTTTTTTTTTTTTTGGTTTTTTTTTTTTGTTTTTTTCTCTCCTCGTAAAGTGGCTGGTGGACAATAAGAACCCCACCTAAATGACTGCTGGACAATAAGACCCCACCGAAATGACTGGTGGACAATAAGAGCCCCACCTAAATCATATCCACCAGGGTGACCGGCCTGTCTTGGAAGAGGCAGTTGTCTTGTGGCTGGGGGACGGCGACGGTGCTGGAAGACAGGGCCCCAACAGGTTTCACACAAGCCTCTTGCTTGTTCATTTCTGCCACGGCCGGCAGCCCGAGCTTGGAATTTCGGTGCGGCGGAAGGGTCACCTACTCAAAGTCATACCCAGGCCCAGGTATATACTGGGGTAGACTTAGGATACATTTTGCGTTTTACCAGTGACTCAAAGTGAAGCAAGCAACAAAATATACATTCTATAACTGGGCCTAACTCTAATCAGGTATATATATAATATTATATATATACAGATATATATATATATATATTCTCCCCCGCTGCCCCCACTGCATGAGTAGCATCAAGTGGCAGTCGGCTTTTTAACGGTGCAAACTGCAAACCGCGAATTTATTTCGGGGTTGCCGAAGGAAGCGCGCCGAAAGCAAAGTGAACCAGGGCTTCAAGTTTAAGTTGAGCCGTACTTCCGGGGTTGGTGGTGGAACTTGATTAGTGCCCGCCACTCCCCCCGCAAGTCGACCAGGTTTGGAAAAAGCGGGCTTCTTAAATCAGAGGTTCGCTAGTCACATAAAACAAAATCCAAAGGTGACAGCTAGTATCCCAAAACATGTCCCGGACTTTCAACCGGCCATGGGTCAAAAACCCATACCCCCAGTGAACATCCCAATCCAAGCACTAAAATAGGTAGCCTAAATGGGCGGTGAATTCACCCAATCCAACCAAAATGGGATCAACCACAACGGTTTTGACCACCACAGCCAAAGCTCATCACTAAAATTGACCAAAATGGGTGAATTCACCAATCCCAACCAACATGGGATCAACCACAACGGTTTTGACAACAGCCACATGGCTGGGGCCCTTGTTCTCTGTTTGGCGTATTTTGGGGTTGTTGCTTAGGCTTTCCTGGGGTTTTGACCACAGCCAAATGAAGCCACATGGAACTTCACTCCTAGGCAACGGGGTGGTGAGCCTTTGGGAGTTGGACCTGGCCACGGCGCAGCTCTTGAAGCAGCTGCTCGGGTTCCGTCCTTTTTTTAGCCAACAAAATGGGGGGGCCTGTCCGTCCTTTTTTTTTGGGGGAGGGGGGCAGGGCGTTCTTTTCTTTCTTTTTTGTGGGGGGGGGGGGGGCGGGCGTCCTTTTTCTTTTTTTTTTTTGGGGGGGGGGGCGTCCTTTTTTTGGGGGGTCCGCCGGCCTTTTTTGAGGCTGCCTCGTTCTTTTTTTTGGGGGGGTGGTTTAAAGACCTTGTTTTGAGCCTACCCTGTTTTTTTGGGGTGTGCAATTAGCCAAGAGGAACACCAACCATGCCTGGGGGGTTGGCACCGCTTTGCTTGGTGGTTTTGAAGGGGAGCTAAGAGGAACACCAGGGTTCCTCTTGTTTAAGATGCGCCCAAATGGGTTTGTCTCAAGATAGGAATCTGCCCCCAAAAACAAAACCACAAAATAAATAGAGAATAAGACAATAAAAACACAGTCACACACACAAATAGTGTTTGCTCCTGACATTTCCTCAAACAAACCCAACAAGGACACATACGTCTATGAGCTTTACGAGTTGGACCCACCTTACAAGTGGGTGGCGGACAAACAGGAACACCATGATGTCCTCTAAAAGGTCCCTTGCTCATCGCTAAATATGATACTGCCGCCTCAAACTTGTGCCGCCTTTTAAAAGAACATATTTCAAGGTCCCCCCTCCCCTGCCAACTTGACAAAGTGGGGCTTACACCAGGGTGAAAGTAGATGGGCAGGTAGGTACACCGAAGTGGGTTGGATTTGAAGTCGCATACCTAACTGTAGCTGTTTTTGCCTTTACTTTAACTGCCCTTCTGGGTCTCCTTCATTTTCCCTTTTAGGCAGAACAATCGCATTTCCGCGTTCGCTTTTGTTTTCTTCTTCATTTTTCCTTGCAAGCAGGAAATGAGCCGCAATCAAAACCCGGATCCCAACCATACATGGGTGCGGCCGCCGTTTTAATTCTCTATATGGTTCTGGATAGGCCATTTTTATGCCGGGTTTCGATTGTGGGTTTAAATGGTGTGAGTCAACATGTTTCACCAAGATGTGGACCCCAGGGTTTAGTCCTTCTCATTTTCCAGGGCAACTAATTCTGGGAAAAATTGACATATTAACGAACCCCAGTTTTTGACTAGGGGGGTGTTTGCCTCCAGAAGTGATGATTCCCCACTAAACCCCAGGGACACCCTCCCTATTAACAAACTGGCGTTGTGTTCATATGGGGTCGACATTATACTCCCGGCACGTCGCACGTCGCACGTCGCGCCACGAATCGACGAATCGCCGTGAGGTTCAACGACTGCGCGGAGGCATCCTTTGGATCTTGGCGCGCGGCCTGGATGGAGGTGGGTATGGGTCAAACATAAACCAGGGGACCGCAGGTTTTGGTCCACGTTGCCACGTTGCCAGGCTTCCGTTTGGGGTACCATTTTTTTGACCGCCACGGCCAGGTCATGGACGTGAGGAGCGACGACCGGGTGAAGATCGCCGACTTCCGCGCCTTTGGCCTCGGCCGTTTTCCCCGTTTTTCCGCTTTGGGGGTCGGAAGCAAACCTTGCCAGGTGTCCAGGGGTTTGTCCCTGAGCTTGCGGGTTCTTGCTGGTGATTGGTGGTTAGGGGGGTCTGCAACACCCAGTTGCCCAGTTGCCGCATGGAAAAGGCGCCTGCCAACACACCAGCAAACAGGGTTTGCTGAGTGATTGTTTCTCAGGTCACCCCCAGTTGTAGTGTCTGATTTGTTCCTTTTCAGTTGGAATGGCTTCTTGTCTCTTAGGTTACAGGTTGGTCGGGCTGTTGTTTTTGGGGCTTACTCAGTATTGGTGGCCCGGATCTGGATTTGACAACAATTTGGGGCAAGTTAAGTTTCAACTTTTCCTGCTTTAACATGTTGGACTTGGCATTGTTCGCTTTCTTGGTCGGTGGGGCTTTGAGCAGGGCCGTGCAACTTGGCAGGGGCTCAAAGAGTTCGCCACCGAGTTCGCATGTTCCCATGCGTTTGCATTGCTGCATGTGGTGGGCCTTTCATTTAAACAAAATGATTTTTGCGTCTGCACGTGGTGGGCCACGGGTGTGTTTTCTCGTCCGTCTTGGAGTGACGAGCATTCTGCTCAGGATTCGGGTGCGACGCCATTGGCTACAAGGGCGACATTGTCACCATGCTCCGATGCTGTCATATGGGTGTCGCCCTATTTTAAGGTAGGGGACTCCCACAAATGGTGGTTTTCCTATTGGTCTTCCTTGCAAACCACCAAACAAAAAAAAGGGTAGCCTCAAAAAAGACAAACCCTTTTAATCCTGAATTTGTGGTTTGAACTGGTGGTTTGCGGCTGTTGTAGAGGGTAAATGGGGATCCAGCCCATAGCCTCCAAACCACAGATCCAAGCCATGCAGAGGAAGGCTGATGTTGCAAGTTCTTCTCATTTCCACAAGGTTATAAGTTGACCCCTGATTACCAGCCCGGTACGGCGTCCGGTACGGCGCGGGAAATCCGATCCCTCCTCGCTGTTGTTCAGGGGGTCCCTCTGAAGAAGCACTGGTCGGGTTTGTCGGAGGTCTGGCGGTCTCGGGTATGCCTGAACTCCATAAACCCAACCGCCCCAAACCTAGAACCCCTGGACCCAGAAACCCCAAGACCCTAAATCTGAAAAGCCTCAAGCATTCTAGACCTTGGACCCCTAGAGACCCTACACCCGTCTGAAAACTCCAAGCCTAACCACAAAGCAAGCCAAGCAGCCCGAGCCTGAAAACTGTCTACTCGGTGTCGCAGTCGCGTGCGGACCCCTCGAGAATCCCCAAACCAGGAGCGGTCCCTGATCCTCAACCACCCCAAGCTTCCAACCCCAAACTTGAAAGCCCTAGACCTAACACCGAACGCCATAAACCGAAAACCAGACCAAGCAAAAAACTGCGGCGCATCCTGCATGATGCGCTGTTGCAGGTCTGAGGATAGCGCAGGGAGAAAAGAACAAAAACCAAAGATCCTAGCGGCGTAGGGAGAAAGAAAGCGAAAGAAACCGCAGGTAAAGCGAAAAAAACAGCAAAGCAAACAAAGCAAACCAAAGACAAGAGCGCGAGGTTCGACCTGCTGGACGTGGACCGCACCAAGTTCCTCACCTGGAGCGAGACCGCCTGGATCTCGGGCACGGAGGTGCCGAAGCCTGGGAGCACCCGCCTCGACATCGGCGCCTTGGAGGAAAGAAATCGGCGACCGCCCACGGCTGGGATTGTGGTCGGCCAAAATGGTTTGGTTCGGGTTTGTTGGCATGGCGGCTTGGCGGCTTGGTGGCTTGGTGGTTTGGTTTGGTGGTTTGGTGGTTTGGTGGTTTGGTGGCTTGGTGGCTTGGTGGCTGGGTTGTTTGGGTTGGTTTTGTTGGTTTGGAGGTTTGCAAGGTTTGGCTGGTGGTTTGGTGGTTTGAGGGCTTGGTGTTTTGGTGGGTGGGTGGTTTGGTAGTTTGGGCCAGTTTGGTTTTGTGGGTTGGTGGTTTGGTGGTTTGGTGGTTTGATGGTTTGAGGGCTTGGTGTTTTGGTGTTTTGGCAGTTTGGTGATTTGGCGATTTGGTGGTTCTGTGGCTTGGTAGTTTGATGGTTTGGGGGCTTCGAGGTTTGGTTGCTTTGTGTTGAAGTGGTTTGGAGGCTTGGTTGTTTGGGTTGGGTTTGTTGGTTTGGTGGTTCGCAAGTTTGGCTTTGCCTGGTTGGTGGCTTGGTGGTTTGGTTGCTTTGTGATTTGGTTGTTTGGTGGTTTGGTGGTTTAGTGGCCTGGTTTGGATTGGAGGTACCTGGGGGCTGGGTGGTGAAACCCCACTTCTCCCCCAGAACCAGTGGTGATGCAAACCAAGCAAGGGTTTCCTGAGGTGCTCAGTGGAGAGAAGTTTCAAAGGGGGTCCCGTTCATGTTCGATTCCCGAACGATCTTTTTTTGGGCCAAGCCAGGCAACATGCGGGTCAAAAGGAGGGTTTGTAAAATAGCCCCCCCGCCCAAAAGACAAAAGACAACCAAAGGGGATTGAGGCATATTTATCCGTGACCTCCCAAAAGAGGTTGCATGGATTCCAGAAGACCCTTGGCTTGCCATGCCATCACTCAGCAACGTGACACAACGATACGTTTGTTTTTCTTCTTTCTTTTTTTTCTTCCATTTTTTCTCTTGATGAAGAGGTGGCCAAAGACGGATTCACGGGGATCAGAGGCTCTTACGGAGAGACGCTTACTTTGCGAAGCCAGTTGAAAGCGCAGCATCCTTGTCATGCACATGTGGATGCGTGCGCAGGTGATCGGTTCAACTGTGCATTGCTCTGACACTACGGACGGGACTTTTGCCATGTCATACTGTGGGTGGACGAAATCCTGCACCACCTAAGAAACCCCGGAATGATGATTCTCCTGTAAATGCAAACGAACCATGGTTTTCCACGGTTTCAAAGTGACTTCCTGAGCTCCGAACCTCAGCCCGTGCCCACTCCTCCCGGAAAAGCCTCGTAGCTAGGTTGGCACCAGTAGAAACGGAGCATATGGTTTGTGCACAGGGCACGTCGCTCTTTGTTTGACCGTGGCTCGCAATGTGGGTTTGTCTTCTGGGGGGGGGCCAGAAGATGGATGGCTTCCGTTTGGTTTCCCTTGAGCACCTACCAACATATATTAATCTACACACATCCATTCTTTCCGCAAACACAGGGCAAGCCTATGCTCCTCTCGGGGAAGCCTAGATAATGTTGTCCGTGGCTCATGCAAGGGGCGCTCAAAACCTCTATTGGCCCTTGCAGCTCGTCCTGCCTGGTTTTTATGGGTCTTTGTCATCATTTTGGTAGATCCAATATAGGTGGCAATGCTGTTTTGACGCTTTTACAGGGTTGTAGGTCAGGTCTTTTGTACTCTGTCTGCCCATCTTAGAGGCCAAAATGGGCCGGCGATTTCGACAACGTAGTTCCAAAGGAGCGACGTCTCTAAGAACCCATGTCTAAGCTCCAAGCAGGAAGTTCTCGGCAAATTCCCACAGAAACCAGAGGTTTGAGCATTTTTTCGCTGGATAAATTCCAGGAGATTTCTTAGAATGACCATGGGGTTTCTTGCTGGAGAATTTCCTGGAAATGGTTTCTTAGAAGGTTTCTTTGAATGACCATGACCTACGGTGGACGGGCGAAATCCGTTTGCAACATGAAATGAACCCATCGTTGAAACCATTGTTCGTTGGTATCTACGTTGGGGAACCGACTCATTCCAGGGTTTCTGAACGGTGCGGCATGGATTTCGCAGCCATCCACGGTCGCCCTTTTGGAAGATTCGCTGGGGTTCCCTGGTAAATCGGAAGGCATGAAACCTATCCAGTGCCGTTTTGGAGTTCATGGGGGCTGGGGGGGGGGAGGGGGAGGGAGCCCAAATAATCCCTTATTATTCAGCCCTTAAGGCCTTTTTTGGGACATATTTGGGCTCCCTCCCTCGCCCTCCCCTCCCCCCCAACCCCCCTGAGGATCTCGCAATCCGAACACGAACAGTCTCAGGATTCTCCACATTTCCCCTCAATAGCAAACTCACCTTAAGTGCGCCAAACAGGTGATGCTTGCCAAGTTAAATACATTGGGACTTTCACACTTGGACACATTGGGTATTGACCCCATTTAGGCACATCTCCGGATAAAACCGTGTCATTTTGAACCATTCTGGGTCATTTCCCCAGGGTGTAATCCAAGGGTGTACTCCAAAAAAATATCTCAGAAATCCGAACACGTTCACACCCCAACGCCTTCTTGCCCGCCCCCTGAGACGTTCGCCTCGCGCTCGAAGGCATGAAGAACATCTCGGGGAGCTACACCAAGCTCACCCGGCAGCAGCAGCGCCGCGCGGACGCGGTGGCGCGGGACTTCCGGGTACGCACCAAGCGCTTCGAGGCGATGGCGTTCCGCTGCCGTTTTTTTTGGATCGGAGACCTGGGCGTGGCGTAGGGTTAAAGGAAGTCTTAAGGAATACCACCTTTGGGGGGGCGAGGTTGTTTTCGTGGCAGAAAGGGGACGGACCTTCAGCGTCGGTGAGAAGACGGCCTGCCAGGGCCGTGCACGAGGGGAGCTGCCGGACAGCTCGCCCATGGCGGGCACGAGCCTCTTCTCGCCGGGCATGAAGCATCCTGGTCACGTTGGGTCGCGGCGCTTCGGAGCTTCTGTTTTTGTTTTTGTTTTTTTGGGGGGCGTTGTTCTTTCTTTTTTTCATTTTTTTCTTCTTGGGCTTCAAATCTCCCAAAGATATTTTCAGAACAAGGGGGTTGAGACGACAACCATTTGGCTTCTTTTTCTTGTGGCTTTCTCCTTGGATCCAATCCGAGTATTTAAAACAATGGGGGAACAGATGCAACCATGTTTGACAGGAGTTTCTGCATGGTCCTTAACCCATTCTTTTAGTGGGTTGAGCCCTAGACGTCTTAAGCCCGGCTTGCCTGCGCTTCTGGCTCGAAGCTGCTTGCCACGAACGGTCACAAACGTCTGGACTTGGGCGCCCCACATACCACAACGAGCCCGGAGATGCGGAGCGGCAAAAACAAGCAAGCGCGACACGAAGATGTTTGCGGAGCTTATTCAGTCTTGGCTTGCTTGGTCTCGTGTTGCAATTTGGTGTTTTGTTATTGAAATGGTCGATGCCCTCATTTGGGAACAAGCATGCTTGCTTGTCCTAGGGGCAATTTCGGATCTGCTCTCAGGTTGGTTCTTTCCAATCGTATGAGCAAAAAGGCACTGCGTGGGAGCCAGTGCTTCTGGCCGGCAGGGCTTAGAGGATCCGTCCAGGCGCTTTCCAATCGCATGAAGAAGGGGGTTGCTTTGTGACAATTGTTTGCAGAACAAGGGTGGGCATGGCAGTCCTCATTAACACGGGAACCCTACAAAAAAGCCCCAAAGAACGACCCAAGCGCGTTGCTCAGCGCTGAGGTTCAACGAGCACTTGCCGAAGAGCAGCTCCAGCCCCAACCTCCCCACCTCGAAAGGCTCGACCGCCACCTGGCCTCATTCTATTTTACCATGATCTCACTGTCATCCCCTGAGTGGTGGGTAGGGAAACAACCGGTTCCGATTCCATTTTCTGACTTGGCTGTGGGTCAAAACCAATGGTACCATTTTGGGGTTGGTGCACCACCCATTTTAGTCTATCTTAGTGGGGATTGGGATGTTCACTGGGGGTACGATTTGGATTTTGACCCATGGCCACTTTGAGACCCCCCAGAAAGCGTCAACAAAACGAGCCCAGGCCACCAGCTGGCGCAACAACGAGCCGGATCTGCCCGAGTGGCTGCTGGTGGCGGAGGGCAAGGTGGCGGTTCAGCAGAAGGACCCCCCGCCAGGGCTGAGTTCGGAGGTTGTCTGGACTAGCTGTTGGTTGCCGTTTCGGAGCTGGGGGGAAATTTGTGTGTGTGTGTGTGCACATGTTCTTCTAAACTGGGCTAAGGAGCTAGCAGGAGGTCTGTAAGGACATGGTAGTGGATCCAAAGAGACTTGCAGGTTGCCTCTTTCCTTGAACAGCCATCCCAAGTTTGGTACCCTGGGCTCATGTTGGGGTAGCAAAGGGGTCCTTCTTGGTGGGTTTCTCACCAGGGGTTGTGGATGATTCGATTTTGGACCTTGCCTGGCAAGGTACAGGCAGGGATTATTCCCGGGGCAATCTCAGGATGCGGGAAGACCAAGCTCAGATGTGGGTATGGGTCAAAATTAATTAATTTACCAGGGCAAACCATATTGGGGATACCCACAGCCATGTGGAGAATGCATCAACAAAAGACGAGAATCTCCACGTTTGCCGTGGGTCTGTTTCTCAAGGAGGCATATTCGCTTCAGCGATTTCGGGTTGGTAGGCGGCAGCTTCCCTCTCCCTTTTCGCTCGCAAGCAGCAAGACATACTTTGCCTTTGACTGGCAATTCCCACCATAAAAGGTGAATGGCGGGTCCCTGGAATTTCCCTTTCGTGCACCAGCTGGTAGGTAGCTTATACCAGCCTGCAGGACTTGTTCAATGCATAGGGGTATGGGTGTGTCATTGCTTTCTCAAAAAAGGCACAGTCACATGTTCCTGGTTCTTGTTGAGGGCAACTGGGGAAACCACTCCTGAACCACCAAAAGCACCCATTCGGCTCCAGGCCACCTGTTCGAGGGAAGCCGTATGGTGAAAGGGCCGTGGCTTTCCGCGCAGTTTTCAAACCGGGTACCCTCCAAAAAAGGACACGGTCACATGAAGCGATTCCGCTGGAACATGATTCCGTGTGTTTGCGAGAGCCATTTGATCTAAGGAACAGGCAAGTTTTATTTTTTTCCATCAGTAGGGGCATGGTGAAAAGCCATCAAAAAGTGGTATTCCATTTTGGGTTTAAGTGGGACACTACTCCTGAACCACCACTCCTGGTTCCATCAGTAGTACCTGTGGTGAAAGGGCTCTCCCAGGAGAAGATGGACCTCAGCTTTCCCATTGCGCCCCAGTGCCCCGGCAAGGGCGGCTGGCCTTGTCGGAAGCTCCGACTGGTGGACAAGTTCTGGGGAGGGAGCAAGGACAGTATGGGATGCACGGCTACAAATGTATATGGGAAACATATGCGTGTATATATTAGACCAAACTGTGGCCTCTTTACTTTGCATTATGTGTTTTGCCTGGGAAGGGAGGTTTTGGGTATGGGAAAGGGTTGTGTAACAAAACACGTAAATAGACACGTTGCAACAACTTAATTTCCGTTCGAACACACGGAGGCCATGTTGCGTGTTTGTGTATGCATACACGTATGCGTGCATATGTGTGAATCTGTGTGTGTGTGTGTGTGCGCGTGTGCGAGCACCTTACCTGTCATTCCAGTATGTCTCGTATCCCTGCCCATTTGAACCACCCCGGCGCAAATCCAAAAACAACAGTGGATACAAACAGGCAAAGTAATGTCAGCTTTCAAACGGGTTTGCGCCAGCCCGGCGCAAATGTAATGCGCATTTGGCAGCAGTCAGGAAGGAATATTTGGTGTGTTCAAGCCGGCCCGGCGCAAATCCAAAGACAACGGTGGCTACACACACATAGTCGAGGTCAAGTCCAGCTTGAAGATGGGTTTGCACCGGCCCGGCGCAAACCCGCACACAGATTTGCGCCGTGCCGGCGCAAACCCATTTTTCTACTGACATTGCCCTATTTAGCCACTGTGCCTTTCTTGCGCCGGGCCGGCGCAAATGCGCCAGATGTTCTTGCCTATCGCTATTACCAGACCGCAACCGAGTTTGGCCTAACAATATTCCTCTCCAGCGTACATGCTCCCATTTTTACTGTACTAGGTTTGCATCCAGTTTCAACTTTCGTTTTTACATTGCGCCAGTTCAGCGTGGGGCTGCGCCATTAAACTTACCTGTTCTCAGCCAAGCTTCACCAGTCCAGAGTGGATGCACCCGAACCGTCTGGTTTTCAGACAGGGCGTTGTTCACCCAGCGTGTCAAGTGGCTAGACAAGACGGCCTGTATGTGTGCTTGCCCCCAGTTTTTCTTCAATCGCGCCACGCGGAAATTGCCTCTAGCGCTGGTTTTCTCGTGCATTTTTGTTGGATGCGTGCCGGACCCTTTTGGTCACTGGTTCACACCAAACAAAATAGAGAAGCTTCACACGCCACAGGTCCGCGCGCATTCCGCGTATTTTTTTTTGCGCAGCGCGTTGGCCTCGCCTGAGCGGTTCAGAACGGTTCCGAACGGTTCCAAACGGCTTCTTTCAGGGTCAGGAGCAATTCGTGCAAGGGCTTTGGAATTTCAATCGCTGGGAGGAGTTTGGACGCTTCATCTGTTTGTTTCCTCGCCGTCGCACCCCTGGCAAAAGCCATTATCTTGGAATCTGCAAGCAGTGGGACTGCTTTGTGAGCAAGAATGCAAAGTGGTCATGTGTCAGGTGGCTCAATCTTCCCACGCCTCACCCGGAATCCTGCAGGAAATCACCATTTGCGCTCGCATTTGTCACTTTGCGGTTTCCGACAGGCGCTATATACCGCTACATCCGCTACGACTTCTTGTGCAAAACCAAATTTGCAACACGTTCCAGCATACTAAGCATGACTTGCCAGAAATCTCGCAGTAGCGTTTGTGTTCGTGAGTTGCCTCCAGGACGATCGGTGGAGACAACTCCTGACAATCAGAAATGCGCCCAAACATTCAAACAGCTGAACCGTTCTGAACCGTTCCTGCAAAGCAAACCCGCTACAACCTGAACCGTTCTGAACCGTGGCAAGTCATGGGTGTGCATAAACGCATCTTGGTTCAGAACCGTTCTGAACCGTTCTGAACCGTTCCAAGCCTTTCCTAGCCACGGAACCGTTCTGAACCGTTCCCGAGGCCAGCGCTCGGACGCAGAAGAACCGTTCTGAACCGTTCTTTAGACCATGATTTGTGTCAAGATATTAGCCTTACACATATGTCAAGATGTAGCCGGTTCTTGACTCGAATGCTTGATCTTGAACTCTTACATTGGCACAAGCTGCTTCTTACTTCTTACCGCGAGCAAAGAATTAATGGGCGCAACTGTAGTGCCAAGCCAATGTAGCCACAGACCATGCCTTCGCAATTATGTTCTTAAGTGTGGCACTGATCTTCATGCTGCTTACAAAATTGTTTTGCTACGCATAATTATGCAGTTTATTGTTTGCATACTATGTTGTAAGATGTTGTGAGCAACTACATGTAGGGCTGATTGTGTTGAGGCTGTTTGTTTGCCGCAGGGGCAGGGCTAACTTACAACGTGAGTTGCGACGTAGGTTGTTACGTGGGTTCTTACCTGACCTTAAAGGTTCGGAACTGCCAACACATAAAGAGGCCACAGTTTGGTCTAATGTATATACATATATATATATATAAATATATATAAACATTTGCAAAGGATCAAACCCCAGGGTTCGATCAATATATATATATATATATATATCCCAATTAGTGTTTACACGAAGGGGTTCTTAGGGTAAGAGTTAAGGCTGGGTTAGATGGAGGGTTCGCGCTCAAAGTGTTGGCCCTGTGCGTGAAACGTTGTGTCCGATGCAACAGTCTCGCGCGAAATGTGGGTTCGTTCCGGCGCTGCGCTCTTGCTGGGTTTCCGCTTTTGCTGGCAGGGGCAGTGCAGTAAAGGTATGTGCTTTTTTTTTCCGCGAAGCCTCGTTTTTTATCGAAGCCTCAGGCGGGCGGAGGCTACGACGCGGTGTGTGTGTGTGTGTGTGTGTTTGTGTGTGTGTGTGTGTGTGTGTGTGTGTGTGTGTGTGTGTGTGTGTTTTAAACGCACTTCAGTGCGTTTTTGATGGCAGGGCCGCTGCGCGGTGTATGTCTCCTGTCGGGTCAGGCTGCGACGCTTGGACAGCCGGGCCTCTAAAACCATGGCAGCTGTTGCAAAAAAATGTACAGCTTCGCATGAAACGGACCTGTCTTCAAAACAGCGCTCCCGCTGTGGCGCCGTGCCGATGATCGATTTGTGTCGACGGCAGGGTTCCATGGCCAGCGCAGCATTCTGTGACACTGGCATGCTTTTTTTTTTTTTTTGCGGGGGGCGGTGGGCGCAGTATGTTTTGCGCTGATGCCATGGGTTGCGCTTGCCGCTTGCCACGCAGCATTTTCAGCAACAGGGTCTGTGACGTTCGTCCCAGGCGCAGCGTTTCGCTCATGTGCAACCGTTGCAAGATGAAAGTGAACCCTTGCCGGGATCGTGCGTGTCGAAGGGCTCTCGCTGTGGCGCCGTGCGAATGTGTCTTGGTTCCGGCGAACCCTCTGCGGAGATTGTGCGTGTCGAAGCGCTCCCGCTGTGGTGTCGTGCGAATGTGTCTTGAGCTCGGCGAACCCTCTGCGGAGATCTCGCGTGTCGAAGCGCTCTCGCTGTCGCGCCGTGCGAATGCGCCGTGCGAATGTGTCTTGGTCACGGCTCCGGCTGCAAAATCGCAACTTGTAATGGGAAGTGCGCTCCCGCAGCTCCGGCTCGATTCTCGTAAGTTTACTTGCAAAGAAGTAGTGCGCGCAGTGCCCTCCTGCAACTCCGCCTGAAAAGTCGCAAGTATTGAGTACAAAAGTAGGGCACGAAGTGCGTTCCCACAGCTCCGGCTGCAAAATTGCAAGTTTTTAGCACAGAAGTAGTGCGCGAAGTGCGCTCCCGCAGCTCCGGGTGCAAAGTTGTAGCTTTCAGTGGCGAAGTAGCACGCGACCTCTAGCTCGAAAACCGCGCCTGTAAAGTAGAAAAGCAGCATGCGAATTCACTTCCGTATCTCCAGCCCGAAAATCGCAACTTGTAAGGGCAAAAGTAGTATTCGAATCAGCAACTAAAACCGCCAGCCTTCTTGCGAAGCCAAGCTGCGCGCAGATATGGACGAGAGGTTGACAAGAGAAAGCAACATGAAAGGTTGGGCAAGAGAGGTTGCAGGGCATCACACCCAAGAGGGATCGACCATCATTTGCAGCATCGCGCGCAGCATTGTGCGCAGCATTGTGCGCGGCGTCGTGCGCAACGTCATGCGCCGCATCATGTGCAACATCATGCGCAGCATCACGCGCAACACCACGCGTAGCTTCATGCGGGGGCTAAGCTCATGAGAACTTGCAGAACTTTGCCTGAGCAGAGGCGTTGACGTATTGACGTCTTGTTGCTCATCCTGCGGGGAGGTATCAGAGTTAATTATTGAACGTGTTTCAATGCTTCCGAGCCACCCATCACCAAGGTAAGCCACGATCAAAACTATTTAGGGTCTCTTGCCGCGATAGAATGTGTAGATACTTTTACACATGTATGAACGTATCCACTTGTATATATATATATATAAGTAACCTTGTATACAGATAATCTATATGCGTGTTGGTATCTTTTTCAAGGGGAGTCACAAGGACAGACATTTCATTTTCGGATCCCCCCCAGTTTAGGGTTTAGGGTCTCCTCAGAAAGTTTTTCAACGAAAGCTCGGGACTGTTTTCGGTGCCCATCTTTTACGCGGGGTCGGGCTTAAACGTGCCTTGTTTGGAAGGCAGGTTTAAGCTACAAGACGAAAGGGACAATCAACCCCCCAATCCCCCAATCCTTTCTGGAATATGGTCGCAACTTGGCAAGCCATGCAAATGCCCTATCTGGAGCCGGACAGGACATCGGGCAGTTGCTCACACCCCTGACCCGAGCATCTTGCTTGCCTGAAAGCCTAGAAAGATGGCAGAGGCAAAGCAAGGAGAGTTGACACCTTTTGGTGGAGCAGAGTTTCAAGCTGGCAGTGTCACATATGCATATGGGTGTGTCCTTGTTTCGGTGACCCCCCTAAATGGCAAGGGTTTCTTGTTGGTTTCCCTTTAAAACGGTACCCTCGAGGAAAGACCAGCCACCCATCTGCTGAACGGCGATTAGCCCAATGGCCCAATCGTCACACGTCTCCCGCGTTTTTTTGGCCTGCCAGAAGGCATGGCCTGTGTGGGGCGTTGCCTTGGAAAAAGGAACTTGCCGCCGGGTTGGACAGCTCAGGGCCATTTTGCCTGTAACTCCGTGTTTTGAAGAGAGCTTCGGTGTTTCCAATTTTTGGGGTGGTTGGCTGGGTGACAAATACGCTTTAAGCTTTTTGCCCTTGGAAGGAACCAAGGCTTGCACAGGTCGCGCAGATTCGTTTAGCTGAGCCGCGAGTTGCATGTTATCTGGGGCGCCCAAGCAGGGACACCAAGCGTACTGAGATTTCAAGGCAGCTTCGGGAATGGGCAAACATACATGGCCACAATTTGGTGGGTCTCCGGGTTTTCCACCACGGCCACTTGTATCATGCACAACACCGAGGTCGTGCTTTGTGTACGCCTACATCGCAGGGATTTGGTACCACTCGCCAATGGAGGCGGGATTTCGACTCAGGAATGGACCCCTGGTTGATTCATGGAACCCTGGCTCGGTTCATAGGGGCGTCCTGTTTTAGAGGGGATCTGGATCACATTTCTCTTCTTTTTTTTTGGAGGGGGGGAGGGGCTGAACGAGCTGTGCGTTTTTTTCGGTTCTGGAAAGGCTGGCAAAGCGTTTTGCCAGGAGAAGGAAGTTGATGGGCTGGGCCCTGAGTTCTCGCAGTTCGCAATCCCCCGCAGTTGCAGAGAATACATGTTATTCAGGCGCCTGACTCAGCCGGCCACCAACCACCTGACCACCTAACCCTCCTTCGGGCCTTCAGCCAGCCTTTCGGTGACTGTAAGCAAAGGTTTGGGGACTGGCCAGCGCAGAACCTCTGGCATTGCTCAAAAACCGATCGGCATTTTTTCAGGGTTTTGGTGGCTTTCTAGAAAGCAGGGTCCCTGGAAAGAATGGACATGGAAGTTACCCCTAGAAAGACGGCAGGAACCATCCACCATGAATTTTAATAAGGAGCCATCTGCAGGGTGGTGGACATAAATCCCCTATCTGAATGATAGGATTGGAGATCCAGCTGTGCCTGCTGTACCAGGATTGATTCCAAGAAACCTGGAAACCCCCTAGAAACCTCCACACCAGACCCTCGCTGGAGATCCGAGGACCGGCCCGCTGTGGGAGGCCTACTGGGCCCTGGCCAGCAGCCCAGGGGGGAACTCAGGTCGAGAGTCTTTGGTTGAGGCCGTGTCCGCCATTTTTGGAAGATGGTTTGCAGAGGAAAAACCCAAAAGGACACAAATGAGACAAGCTCGGGGTGTTTTCGGAAGCAGGCTTTCCCTTTTTGGCTTCCCAGAACAGTTCGAGCCGCCAAATGAGCCTTGCGCTTGAGGGCAGGTACCACTTGGGGTCGTTGTCGCCGGGGCCTAAGCAGGAAGTTTGGCTGAGCCGAACGGAACCTTCCAGTTGTCACCGGTAATGTTGACCCAGGATTAATAAACCCGTCCCACTATTAGGGGGGTGTTCCCTCCAAAAGTGATGAATCCCCACTAAAAGGGGACACCCCCCAATTAATCAACCAGGCGTTTATTAATCCGGGGGTAACATTGAGTTGGAGATGTGCCTCCTTCCTGTAGCGGTGTAATGCCTTTGTAGGGTGACTCTTTCGCATGAGTGTCACCGAATTGATCGTCCACCTTGGAATTGTCAGCGCTTGAAACAACAGTCTTGGGCAAGGCCCCGCTGAAAGTCTCAGCGATAGCCCTCCCCAGTTGGGTTTCTGCCAAGGATGGGGTCCCTGGTCATTCTCATCATGCGCCCAGTCAGACTCGCCCGGGCCTCACGTGGATGTATCGACACCAGGCCGGCAGCTTTTGAGCCTTGGGCGAAGGATGGCACGGTTCCTTTCAGGCAAGAAAGCGGGAAGAGAGAAGCCATGGGTTGGAATTGCGCGATTTCGCCCTTGATTGATGGACAGAGGCTAAACAAACGAAGTCTTCGACCTTCGATGCGGGTTGCCCTACTCAACTGCCGAGTTTTTGCCTGTTTTAGGGCGGGACGGTGGGCGCTCAGAAAGCGGTGCTTGCATAAATTTCTCCGTCTTGAGGCCTGCGGAGGGCCCGGGAGGAAAGGAAGGAATGCATAGCCAGTGGCCGAAGCTGTATTGCACTCAGGTCATGGACTGGATGACCCGTGGCTTGGCAGGGACTTGGATTTCGGTTTGAACCAGCCCAAGCTGATTCGCTCTGAAAGGGTTGCACAAATGATTTGTCCTTTACACAGTGCTTGAAACATATTTAAGCAAGGGGGCCACACAACTTGTGGGTATTCAACTTCTGGCTACCCGTTCAACGGGACAAACCAACGGGGGCTAGCCCAGCCCTGCGGACTTTTCACTCCTGAGGCCCGGTGCGCAAAGCCACAGAAGAGGATCCCAACACCTGCGCGACGATGGTGAATAAAGTCAGCCCCCTGCGCAAGGCCACGAAGCGCGAGGGTTGGCAGGAGCCCCCCTTTCTTGGCCCAGCCTCGAGGTCTCTTTGTTTGATTCCCTAGCCATGGCGCTTGAGGGGGAGGGGCGTGGAGAAGGGATCGCCTACAAAGTTTCTTTTGGGGGTCCAACATCTTGGCCATGGGGCACACACACTGGGTCACATGTGCCAGGTGTGTGACAGCCTGATCAGCTTGTACGAGCGTTGCGCTGAGCTTGCAACAGGTGGTCCGTGTTTGGAATTGACGCGGGATATGCATCGCCAGCATCATGAGACCCCGGCTCCCCGGGCTTTTGCGGCCTAGGACCAAAATCCGGCGCTTGAGGCGCAGTGCGGTCCTCAGGTTCACGCGCTTGTGTGACCATTTCCAGGGATGGGTGTTGGATGGAGGCTTGTACACGACCAACATAAGGCTTTCGGGTAGTGCGCCCCTTGTACTAAGGAAAGTTGTATTTGGGGTTCACCAACAGGTCCCTTACATGGGATGACCATGGTGGAAAACCACTGAAAAGATAATATTCCCCATCATCATGTCCTTGGGGGCCAGGCATATTGATCAACTCCCATATGGCCTCCATACACTCCAAAACCTATCCCGGACCTGTTGATTCAAGCGCGCGCTTGTGCGCCAAGGCGCGTATATGGACACCGCTATGTCTGGGCATGCCTTCTGCGATGCCTCCATGGATGCTGAGCAGTTTCCTCGGTATTGTCCAACTTTTGGGTGAGTTGGCGCTGGGGGTGGTGCATCAGCCATGAATGAGTTGTCGGAATGAGTCAATGACTCTCATTTGCATGAAGACCTCCGATTCTTCATCCCTTGCAGAGGGAGTTTTCCCTTTCAGAGAGCTTGTTTGCTTGCAGTGCTTTCAACCAACCGAAATTGCCCGCCAGGAAAGGTGATGGAAGCATGGGCTAGAAGGAACAACTTGGGGCGCGGTTTTGGCGTTTTGAGCGTGCCTTTTCGGGGTTGGTCCCAAGGAAAGCCAAGCGCACTTCCACGATTTCGAGCTCCAAAGGGCTTGTCAAATTTTTTGAGTCTCGGTACCCCGATCTTCACTGTTCTTGGCATGTTTTTTGGTTTTTTAGTTTTTTGGTTCTGTTCATTTTTACTGGGGGTCTGCAAAAAACAAAGTTTTTTGCTACCATACCAAGAGTAGAGATGCGATGTTTTTGTGTCGCTTATGGAATCCCAAAGGAACGCCGAGTTCCATTTCGCAGGGTCCAAACTCCAAGAACGAGCCGGCCTCCTGCCCGCGTGCCCTGACCGCTCAGTTCGTACCTTGCGGGCCACAATGTGAACGTCTCGGAGTTTGACGGACAGCGCCTCAGTGACTCAGAGCTGGGACCGCAAATGTTTGGGCCAAGCTCTCAAAAATACGGGGAAAGGGTTGCCTTCAAAGGGGTGAATGTTTTGAGGGCTTCTCAGAGTACTTTTGGAGTCCCGAGGCGATTCCGTGGAAGCTCCCAGAACCCCTTTGGAAGACTCTGTTCCAGTTACAGCGGCCTGGGAGCTTCCATGTTAGTTTCAGCTGGACCTGCCAAAGTGGCAGTTTCACTGGAGACCTACCTGGAAATTGCAACTTTTGATTTGGGGAAATCCAGTGACCCCTGTCTCAAAGTACTTTTGGAGATATGCGTGCGTCTACCCCCCATTCGGTTTTCCTTGTGGTTTCCCTGCAAAGGAAAAGACAACGACGAAAAGGGGTACCCTTCAAACAGACGACCCATGTTGTTGGAGAAAAAAGTGTGGTTTGCCTTCAATCCGGGGGCTGGCGTTCAACATTTTGAGGGCTTCGAACAAACTACTTTTGGAGTATATGCTGGCCAACCGGCAGCAAGCAGAAAATGGTGGGTTTCCTTGTGGCCCTTTGACCCGTTTAACCCTCTCCCCCCCCTCCCCGAAAAAAAATAAAAAGGGGGGTATGCCTAAAAAAGGGACAAGCCACCCTTATGCTGGCCCACTGCCCCTCGCGCCAGGGGCGGCGATGCTGGTGGCAACAGCCAGCAGCTTCACCATCGCCTCGGTGGGTGCGGCGGTGACGCGAATCCTTTGTGCTGCCCGGCGCTCGGTTTTATCTGGGTGAATTATAACGACCTCACACAAACTCACCCCAAATGGTGGTTTATGTGGGGAATATCCCTCCAACCACCTTAGTTCAGGCTGGTGAACTATTATAATTCATCCCATAGTCAAGCCATGACGAACGGCTAATGAAGCAATAGACTAGGAGTTCATACCAGTACACATTCAAATGGTGCAGTGTATGGCAATAGGAAATGGGGCCTTAGGGCAACCGCTTTCTTTGATACCAAGGGAGCTCCCAAAGGGGTGACGTGCGCGTAGCGGCCACCCAAGGGTGTCACAGGATAAATGTCCCACAGTGCCATGGGTTTGTTTTGCCTGGGGGAGACCAAGAACCCTCGCCATAGGATGAGAAGTCAGATTCACTTGATGCATCATTCTTGCCCAGAAAGTCAGCTTTCCCAGTGTGAGTGATCAAGGGAAGTTGCTTGGCTGCGATTTCATGACCCAGGGATCCCTGAAATTTGCCCCTTTCAGCCCGTTTCAAGCTTCACCTTTTGGGCACTTTAGGCTCAGTTCTTTCCTGGGATGATGCTTGAAGTGGAAATCTAGGGAGGCCGGTGACCGGGGCCAGCTGCAGCCTGTGACCAAGGTGTGGCCGGACTACGCAACCACGACCAGCCCGAACTTCATCATGGCGCGCAATCAAAACCCGGGTGGGTGAAGATTAGCCATGGGCACAGCTGCCTTTTTTTTGCAGTCTGTATGTGAGTTTGAGAAGGCCACTAGAATATCATATTTTGACCCTGACTCATATGGAGGCAAACTCATTCACACAAAAAAAAACACACTGATATGCAACACTCGAGAGCGCATGGAAAGCACTCGGCACATGTTCACAATGAACGCAGGCATGTATACATGCAAGCTTCTATCTTCTCTGCCCACTCTTCGCCCGACTTTGTTGTCTGCTCCTTTCTTCGCTCTTAGCGAAGCTATCCGATCCGGAATGGGCCCCCATTGTGGCGGCGCTTCGGTGCTTTTTGTTTTGTCGTTTTTGAGACAAATCGGCTCATTTCTGGAGTTTGCCCTGTTTCCGAGATCGCACGTGGGGATGGCTGGCTGGCTGAGTGGATTGATGGGTGAGAGCCAAAGGAATGGGTGAGTGAATTGAGATGAATTGAGTGCTTTTTTTTTTTTTTGGGGGGGGGGGTCAAAGATTAGGAGTTTAGGGAGTTTTCTTTCTTCTTTTTTTGGGGGGGGTCAACGTTTCGGGGTGACTCCATCCATTTGGACATCTGTTTCGCATCATGGCTGCGCAGTTGCCCACCTTCGTCAGCTTTATCTCCTTCCTGGCCGGCAGCTTAGGGTGCAGCTTAGGTCTTTCGTGCGCCGAATTTCCCGGGCTGCAGGCGGTCTTTCCAGGGCGGGGCTGGAAGTCCTCCGGGAAATCCCTTCATGTGGCCATGGGTCAAAATCCCGTACCCCCAGTGAAACATCCCAATCCCCACTAAAACAGACTAAAATGAGTGGTGCACCCACCCCAAAAAGGTACCATTGGTTTTGACCCACAGCCATGTCATTCTCCCTTTTGGTGACTTGGCAAATGGAACTGGGGCAACCCTCGCTGAAAAAAGTGTCACGCTATGAACTACGGTCGTTTTGGATGAAGCGAGCTGTGCCGAAGCCGGCTGAGATTTGCATGCTGATCTCCTGGCCGTTCTGCCTGCTCTCCGACCATGCCATTGTCTCAGACATCCCTCGGACAATTGGCCTGGGGTTATGATTGTGACTGTTTCTGGGGGTTATCAAAGTCGGGAGGTTCTTGGGGGTCGGGGGGGAAGGAAGGCGGCAAACACGCACTTTTCCCCCAAAGAAGCCAAGCTTCATCCTGGTCCTTGTAGAGGGTGAGTAGGACACCGCCCCTAAGCTCCACTCGAAGCCACTGGGAAGCTGACGGGACAGGTCGCGGACTCCATCTTCTTTTGCTTCTGCCGCGACCGCCAATACGGAGCCAGGAGCTCGGATGGATCGACGGACTCGGATGCAGGATGGCAGACGCGGCCGACGTTTGTCTCCCGCGCGCAGGCGTCGGTGAGGGATGGCGACGTGCGCGCCTGAGAGGAAGTTCTGAACCTTGGGGGCATGACTCGCCAGTGCCTTGTGCATCGTGCGGTTGTCAAGGGCACGATTTTGCGTTGGCTCCGATGTCAGTGGTTCAAAGCGAGCCGACCTGACGTGAGCCTTTGGCTTTCCCTGGTTTCCCATTTTTCGTCGGTTTCCCCCCGAAAGGTTGAGCTTTTAGTTCCAGGTCTCATTAAGGGGCCAGTGAGTAAAGGGAACAAGTCGCAGGAGCCCTAGTCGGAGGCCATCGGAAACGGCGCGTAGCGCTGCGGGCGCAGGTGAACCGTGGATGCAACTTGCAGACCTTGTTGGGTGGCCGGGCGCTCGGAACCCACAAATTTTAGGGGATCCGGTCTGCTGACATGGGATCTGTTTCCTTTGGGTTTCCTTTTGAATGCCACCCAGGGGGTCCGAAATCCATGTTGAGCAGCACGAGATGGCAGACAGCAGCGTATAGGGCTGTAGATTTGCCGTGCGTCATATCATTCCATGTCCTTGATTTTAGGAAGCAACTGTATTCATGATATCCGAGGCGGCTCGAACACTCTCGCCCTGCCCGCCGCTCAACATCCTTCAATGTCTACGCTTGAGCCGTCGCAACACGTGCTTGGCCTGTTGCCTGCTTGTTCGCTGTGGCAAGGCTGAAGACGTCTCACCCCACCGAGACTCAGGCTTGCATGGTGGCATGCATGCCGATGTAGCGCCGGGACATCGCTTCTTTGCAGCCATTGGGAGAGGTAGCTTTGCAGGAGCCCAGGTTCATGCACTAGGTCCGAAAACTATCATTAGGCAGTGGGACAAATAGGTATCCCCGCACGTGACAATCCTCTATCACTTGTGAATCCAGGATTGACAAATCCTGGGTGTCATGATTCTGCTAGCGAGCTCTGCGCAGGCTCTCTATGAGGCATTTGACGGCATGCGCTGAAAGACAGGGACGCCCGCCTGAACAGCTGAACAGCCAGACGCTGAAGCCAAAGCGCAGCGTACCTTGGGGGCCCAGGCGGCCCATCATTGCTTGCCTCATCTTCCCTTTCCGGCAGAAACTGATTCGCCGAGCACCTTGTAGCACCCATCCTCTCAGATCTGCGATGCAATTCAAGCGCCTGAAGCACGCCAGCTGTTGACATGGGCGCACCTTTTTTCGCGTGTCTGAGAGGGGGCAAAAGCTTAGCTGCCCAGTGGTACCATTTTTTCCTTTTATTGGGAAGGGTTCCCCTTCAAAGTCAACCAACTAACAACGGATGCCCTTTTTTCCCCGTGGCCACTGGGCATCTGAGAAAAGCCAACTGCGGCCAGCCGGGAGATTTTGGAACAGCTTTGTATCCAACTGCCTTGAAGGCAACCGTGCGGTCCGCATTGCTGGCACTGGAAGCCACCCTTGGCGCCCGACAGACGGGGCAAAAGCTCGAGCTGGCCGCGCGGAGTGGCTGTTGCGCACGAGCCAACCGGCGCGGCTACTGGGGTCCGATTGTCTACACCTTGGCAAGTGTGCCGGGTGTTCGCTTTGCTCAAGCATGACTCATGGCCCTTCATTTCGGACATAGCTTCACCAAAGGCGACTTGGACAGATTCGGCAACATGAGGGCATCAGGCGAAGAGAACACCGAGAACAGTGAGAACCTGAGGTAGCCCTGACTCTTTTGCAATATCTTCAGCGCCTTTTTGGGCGCTGAGAATGTGGCCATGTGGCTGTTCAGCCCGTCTCTCAGTGCGTGGGTACGGACCGTACGGAGGGTTCCAGGGAGCGCCATTGACTCAGGTGGCTGGGATCAGACGGCATGCAAGCCAGCGCCACAGATGGGAAATATCATCAGCACTTCGGCCTGCCATTCCACACACACACACCTGCACATACGCATGCACATATATGCATGCACACACACACACACATATATATATATATATAGTACACACATATTTAGCACATTTATAGATATATCGTACATATATGTATCTACATAATGTATATATATATATAGATCTACATATTTACATACACACCCATGGGTTTGTGTCAAAATGGGGGACCGTCAAAATGGCAGCTTTCCAGTTCCTTTAAAACCGCCTCCCCAAACCGGATATCTGCAAACAAGGTATCCACATGTCAGCTTATGTCTGAAGCAGCCTTCATGGTACCCGCTGCCTTAGGCCGTGCGCCGTGGCCAATGTCACAGCGGACACTGTGAGGGTCGGACGGGGGAATTCGTGTATCCAGGATTTCGTCCATCCACACCAACATAATATCTCTCCAAATGGAGGAGTCTCATAGTTGGAACCCTCCAGTGGGTGGATGTTTTCAGCTACGTGCTGTCTGGTGGAACTTTTTGCTTCGGAAATGGGAGTTCCAGACACTTGTCCGCTTGCGTCGAATCCCTATGGACTCCCAGGAAAGCTGTGGGGAGGGGCGACTATCCCTCAACTCCTTGATACGGCCTAAGGGCTTCTCCTGGGCTCCAGACATAGCCCCACAGCCCCTTCAGGGTCCACTGGGCAGGTTTCTACGGTCGCCAGGTGGATGCTGCCCTGCTCCAAAGGCAGGCCGAGGCTGCTGAGGCCACACAGACGGGCGCCGAGGCGGGCGATTTTCCGCGTCTGGGATTTGTTTGTTCTTCCTCCGCTACCCTCCCGCGCACCAACATGGCTGGAGGGTACCTGGAAGATCAGGTTCCTCTCAAAGGGACCGGGTCCCTGTCAGCTGCCATGTGGGAGGGGGGGCAGTTTTTTTGAAGGGCGCCTCCTTTGCTGGTGCGATAGGTAGGGAATTCAGGAATGAAGGATGGGGATTCCCTTAAAGGCAATCACCAGTTCTGATCAGCAGCAAGTTTGAACCAAGCTTTGACCGGTCGGGCATGTCGATGTTGCCAGACTTGACTCACCTTTTGGCCCTTTTGCCTTTTGGGTTCCTTGTCCCTGTGAACCGCCAAGCGGGTCGCATCTGGCTGGCCAAGTTGAGATTCCGGGGCTGGAGGAATTTGGGACTTGAGATCGAGTTGTGATCATTTGGGTGGTCAAAGTAAACCACCAAGATACGGACCGCAGATTTGTTCGTCCTTTCCATTTAAAATGGGCGACCCATTTTGGGGTTAGCAACGATTTTGACCACCACATCCGATTCACTTGGGTGTCCGAGTCGATCATCGGGACCAAGAGTCAGAAACGAGTGGCGCAAGAACGCAAGCGAGGTGTGGGCGACCCGATTTCCCCCGGAGTTCGCCACGCAGCACCTTGGCGCCGGTTTCGATTGGGGGCTCAAAGGGCGTTGATCATCGGTTCGCACCGCTTGCTGGAGACTTTCCTGGAGATTGTTTCTTAGCAGTTTGTTTTGAATTGCCATGACCTCTTGCAGATGGACGAAATCCGTTCGCACAACGAAATGAAACCATGGTGGAAACCATTGTTTGTTAGTATTTACGTGGGGGAATCTAGATCATTCTAGGGCTTCTAAGGGCGGTGCGCAATGGATGTCGACCGTCCGCAGTACCAGGTTTTGATTGTATCCCTGGTGCGTGGGAACAGGTTGGGCGGCTGATCCTTTGAAGCTTGCGGGGGGTGTTTCGAAGAGGACAGTATGGTCAAACCTGGGCTGCTTCCCCATTCTGTACAACCACCCTTCCTTTTAACAGCCGGCCGTGTCCCCTTTGGTGGGGAAAGAAGGATCCTGAAGCTCAGCTCAGAATGGGTAGGCTGCCAGAACCACGGGAAACAGAACACTACAGTTTCATTAACCTCCCTTTGGCTTCTGTCAATGGGGGACTTGTTTAAGGTGGGCCCTGATTGGATGGGATTCGCGCGTCCGAGGGGGGCGATGCAATCGAAGCTGCAGTCGCAGCATGAAGTGCAGAGGGTGGACTCCAGAGTACCCCCTGGCGTGCGCCGAGCTCGGAGAAGCAGTTTCTTGTGGGGCGAAAATGAGTTCACCTGCCGTGCCAAGACAGGAAGTCCAGGAGGAAATCCCAAACAAAAGCGGGAAACATCGCAAGGACCCAAAGGATTTGGTCAGATCTTCTGAGGGATTGTCAAAGTCGGAAAGAAGCGGGGGGGGTGTCTACCTCTACGACTTGAGGGTGGCTTTGATGGTAAAAGCAACGGTTTCATGCACCCCGGGTTGACATGAAAGAGAGGTGCTGATGCCAGAACGCTGGCTTTAGCTCCCTTGTCCTTCCAAGGATTCTCACCTCAGCTTCTGGACTTTCACTTTTTCGGCTTGGACGGTTTGGATGTGTCTTTTTTTTGGAGCGTACCATTTTGGGGGCGGCTTAAAAGAAGCCCCCCCAAAAAACACCCACCACTTTTGGGGTGAAACCCCATTTTGGCGCACACCCATTTGAGGTAAACCGCAAGTTTCGTCTTCCCATCCGGGGGAGTAAGCAGCTTCAGTCACTGGCGCAACTAGGTCGATGCACGAGAGCTCGGGGACTGAAGAGGAAGTTCCCGGGTCGGAGGTCGCTAGCTGCCGCCTCAGAACAGACTTGGGTCAAGGCCACGCGCCCGTTTGAGTGAGTGAACTGAACAAATTTGGTATTGCAAGGGTCTACCCAAATGGCTGTGGTTGTCAAAACCAATGGTCCCATTTTGGTTGGTAGGTGCACCACCCATTTTAGTCTATTTGAGTGGGCATTGGGATGTTCACCGGGGGTACGGGATTTTGACCCATGGCCAAATGTATGTAAAGATCGAAGGGGCACCTGGAAGATCAGCTATCGCTTCCCCGGTTTTTGATTGACTAAAAGGGGCAAGATGCTTTCCTTGGGAAGCGCGATGTGTGCTGGGGGATGATGTTTGGGATCTCGGGATTTGAAGTGCCATGCCCGAACAAACAGCTGATGCGAAAGCTTAGGCCCGCAAGGTTGCAGTTTGGCGCAGAAGCGTTTGAAGGGGCTGCGGCCTCGGTGAGCACAATGAACCAGTAAGCCAGGATGCAGCTAAAGAAGAGCTCAAATCTCGAAGATCCCCAGCCTTGTCGCTGATGAAAACATGAATGAAATGGGCTGGATCGAGGCAGCTATCGTTTCTGACACCCCAGTCAAGTCTTGGTGCGGCCTTTCGCCATTGAAGTCCGAAGGATCAAGGGTGACGCCGGGGCTGCTGTCGGAACTGTTGGGGCCTGAGTGGGCAGGCAAGCTCCGAGAGCAAGCCTCGAACTACGGACAAAATCCATCAGGTCAGTGTTCCTTGACTTTCCTCCAACGTGAGGATTGGGCCTGAGGCGGCTCAAGACTTCGTAACTTTCCCTTGGTTTTGCACCTCTCCCTTCAGGGCCAGGTCTATGTGGGTGGCAGATGTTTATTTGGAAAAATTAAGAACAGACGTTTTTCTCCGGTTTTATTTGTGTTTCTGTGGGGTCCTCACACTCGCACACGCATCCAGACCACTCGGCTTGCAGTTCAGGCGCTTCGCTGGGTGGGGTCGGCGCCTTAACTTCGGACAGCAGATGCCGCGAGCCGCGGGGGGTGGTTTCCACGTTGAGGTTCGGTGGGCCTTGGTGTTGTTTTTGTCCACGAAATTTTTGTTTTGGGCCCACCACCTGTTTGGATCATCTGCAAATGAGACTTCCAAGCCCAAGATGTGGTTTTCGAACGGGCGCCTGGTTTCATTGGGTCCCAGGCTCTCGGAATTGGCGCTGGAGTACCCATACGAGGCAGGCCGGCTCGTACCTTCGGGACCGAAGTTGGTGTGGGCCTGGCCTGTTTTTGTTTGGAGGGGGGTGGGGGCCCCTCCAAAAGTGGTCTAGTCCTCACTAAATGCAGTTGGACACCCCCCCTTTGTAAACTGGAGTGGATTAACTTGCTGCTGCGATAGGTAGGGAATGTGGGAATGAACCCAGGCTTTGGTCCCTGCAAAAAGGAAGCCACAAGGGTCATTCCATTTCTCATCCCCTGCTGAGCACCAGCATTGGTTGAAAGTCGGAAAACTGAAAAGCCATATTGTGCCCCCCCTTCCCATCCAATGTAGACACACCCATGTGGCAAAATCGGCATTTGGACTCCCAAAATGGATCTTCCTGCTTCCCTTTTAGCCGACCTGGAAAGGACTCTTGAAACAAGGGGACCCATGGCGAGTTTCTTTTCTGCTTTCCTTGAACGCCAACCCTGAAGCCTCTAAGGGGTGGTCAAGGGGGGGTTCCCTAAGGCTCCCTAAGGACTTTAGGGACACCTAGGGAACCCAAGCAAGACTGAGAACTACCCCGCCCTTCCCACAAGGCACCTACCCCCTTGGATGGAATTCCATAAATTCCCTTTGGAACCCGCAGCAGCTCTCAACTACCCACCCGCCTGGACGGCCTACCCAGATGCTGACAGGGTTTTGGACGACTCTGTTGGATATAGGCAGGGCTGGGCCAACGTTCCAACCACCAAGGAAACCCATCGATTTTCCCAACTACCGGACACCTATGCCCCAAGGCACCTACACCCCCCCGAATGGCCCGGATGCGGGATTCCATAAGAAACCCATTTTTCGGAGGGTTTTCGACGAATCCCTCGCTCCGGAGGACCTGGCCGCCGCCACCGACCACTTCTCCCCGGAGCACCGTCTCGGCGCCGGCGGCGTGGGTGCCGCGGGGCGCCCGAAAGAGACGGCCGGGGACCGGTGGAAGGCGAGCGGCCCGTTTTTCTTCTTCTTTTTCTTCTTCTTCTGCGTGGTTCTTTCTTTTTTCTTTTTTTTTTCTCCCCCTCTCCCTTTTATTTTTTTTGGGGTCGCTTACAACATGGGTTGAACAAAAGCTGCCATCATTTTGCAGAGGCTACATGTCTCTTGTTTTCTCTGAATAGTATTGAGAGCCATGTTGCGTTTTTTTTTGGGGGTAGTGTTTTTGCAGGCATGAGGTTTGGCAGTGCACAAAAAGCAGATGCTGGGGCAAAAGAGGTTACAATGGTTTCTGACGGCATATGGTTGCAGGGGCTTCTGCTCATGTATTTTCACGTCCTAGTCCCTGCAAAAAAGGGTAGCCCTGGCATTTGGGAGACCGCATGTTTTCGTGACCACTTGCGCCTCCTCGCCCGGGGGGAAGCTTTTAGGCAGTTGCTCTCGTACCAGTAAGGCTTTCACCCGGTTCCATGATTCGATTCTGCCAAAAAGGGCTGTTCTAAGGCCACCCCTGAATACAAAAGGGGGGACTGGTGGCAATTCGCATTGCGGCCAGGTTTTTTCTTGTTGCGCCGCGGTGTCTGCTCTTTGCTTGAATCCGGGCAGTTGGGGATGCCCGCATAATACCACTCATTTGCAGAACAGCATTTGTGTTGGAGAAGATTCTAGGGGTTGATTCTCCATTCTTTTCAGCCATCATTCTTTTCGCAAACCGATCCCCGTTGCTTTTTGCTTCCCAAGGTTTTCTAGACGTCACCGCTTTTTTTTGGGTTTCCGGAGGTTTGCAAAAGAAAGAAGGATCAACCTAGGGGTTGATTCCCTATTCTTTCCACTCATCGTTCTTTTCAAAAACCAGCTATTTCTCCCTGGGGTTTTGGAGGTTTTCTGGAAAGAAATTCGGATCCCTGGAAAGAATGGACATGCAAAAGGTAGCCCTAGAATCAATGGACATGAGGAAGGCCCTGAGGGCAACTGCCAGATTCCGCTTCCGTGGGCCGAACTTGGATCGCTGAGGTTTACCGAGGCAAGCTGCGAGGTGCCACAGAGGCCGAGAAGGGCAGAAATGCTTCGGATGCTTCGGATCTCACCCAATGACTGAGAGGGGACTGCAGGTTGCTCACCGGATTTTCCATTTTCCCGGTTTTTGTAGGGAACTGGAGGAATTCCACCCTTCAAAAGCAAGAGGAGCATAGTTGGTTCCCTAGGCATAACTGGGATCCACTGGGCGAATGTTCAGTGGTTGGGTTGGGACATGCATTTTGACCGCTCATAAAAGCTCGAATGGTTTGGGGTGATTTTAGCTTCGGGTTGGCAGCGTCGGTGTAGGGCAGGTGGCAGGTGGGGTTTCCGAAGGTTCTTGAGGCGGTTGCCGCGCTACCCAGGCCCCACTTCAACATGGAGTTCGGGGAGATAGGTCCCTGAAGTTCCATTCATTTGGGTGTGGCTCAAGAATTAAACAGGAGGGGTTACGCAGGTTTTGGTCCATGCTTTCACTTTCCAGGGCAAGCCATTTTGGGTACCGGTTTTTTGAGCCACAGCCATGTCCCCTAAAACTGGGAGCCCCAGAAAGCCCCCCCCCCCCCCCCCCACAACGCATCCCATGCCACCGTCCAACTTTCTACGGCTAGGTGGCCATCAAGGTGCTGGCTGACATGGGAGGACCGCTCCAACCATGCTGCACGCCCCGCTTCTGTGCCGGACCCATTTGGGGGGTTGGTTGGTTTGGCGGGTGTGTGTGTGTGTGTGTGGTTCATGGGGTTGTAACTACCGCTCGTGGTTCTAGACATTTGTGCCAAGTGCAATGTAATGTTGGTACTGGTTCACGCTATGGATGGACCAAATCCACTTCGGGACCAGTTGCTAGGTGGCTTATTCATCCACCACTCGTTATTTGGATGTCACTCTCCCACGTGGTGCTTTGCGGAGTTCGTCCCACCCATCTGCGGCGCAGGAGTCGAAGGCTTCGAGGACGAGGCAGGCTTGGTATATCACTTGGTTTCCCGAGATCTGCCGAGGCTTCTGAGGGGAACTGCCGAAAGGAGTTCCGCAGAAAGCAACGGGGGCAGGGGGGGGGGGGGGTCAGGCCTAGTTTTTTGAGAAGGTTCGAACCAAGTCCTCTAGAGAACGGTTCGGACGTGGGCTTTGTGGATCCACCCCTGCAGTAGTTGTAAGAAAGTACTAAAACAAGAACCTACAGGGGGAAGAACCGCCCGAAATCCACAAGCCAAAGGCGCACTTCCAACCCCGTTTTCCTCGAAGCCCGAGATGTGCAGCTCGTTTTTTTTTTTTTCTTTTCCTCTCCTCCTCAGCCAAAAACCACCAAGTGAAAACCAACAGGAGGAAGAACCGGCCAAGCGAAGCCCGCCGGCAGCGGAAAACAATCGGCGTGTTCGGCCGGGCCCATGGGCCGACCCCGCGGCTCGCTGAAGAGCGATTTCTCGGCCCAAGCGGGCGGGAGGTGCGATGGCCGATGGATCCCAGCTTGAGGCTCCTCGGGGCTCATGGCAAAGTTGCATCTTGCCTTCTCTTCTTCTTTTTTCTCCTCCTTTTTTTTTTTGGGGGGGGGGGGGGTTGCATCAGATAAGTTCTCGTTTTTTATCCCTGTTTTTTTTTTTGGTGTGTGTGTGTGTCCTTTTTTGTGATTCAGACAGGGTCCGCATTTAGGCTGGGCCCCCTTTTCAGGGGTTTTCAACAACTGCTTTTGGGCTGGGCGAATGTTTGTGGCTCGGTAACTTTCCAGTCCCATGGACGGGCTGGGAGTGGGGTGGAGGGGGGGGTGTTGGCTGCCTCTGTTGACTGCGCCTCCGCTCGCGCGTGGCCTTTTTCCGCGCTTTTTGGCGGCCCAGGCTGGCCGAAGTCTTCGAAAGCCGCTCTCACGGAAAGCGGCAGGCGCTTCGGCACACCCACTGAGCTTTCCTAGACACTCCACGTGGGTTGCCCCGTGGATCTGCCTTTGGCGGTAGATGCTGCATCCCTGAGTTTTTCTATGCAGGCGAGAGGGCGTCAAAGCTGAGCTCCTTCATGGAAGACTCGCTGGCCGGCCTCAGTTTGCTCTGGCTGCGTCAATGGTTAGGGAATCGGGGGATGAACCAATCAACCTCTGGTTTCAGTGAGAATGGTCAAAGGGTCATGGTGAAACCGGATCCAACATTCCCCGAATAAAGAAGCTGGGCCCAAAATGAAACTGAGAAGTGAAGCTGGATCCACGATTCCCCTGAAAACTGAAACTGGATCCGGAAAATTCCCCCCCCCCCCAACAAAAAAACAAAAATCCCCCCCCCCCCCAAAAAAAAATAAACAAACACGAGCACCTCTTGCTTCCACGACTGGGGTGCCAACGCCCCCGCCCCGGCCCATGCCGCTTCGAAGCCGGAGTCCTGCGCGAGGCGGCGGACGAGGCCATGCTGGAGCAGCTCGGCAGGCGCCGCGCACGAGGCGCAGCGCGTGGTGCCGGCCGCGGTCCGCGTCGAATCCAGGGCTTCAAGAGGACGGTGGCAAAACCCCAAGCGAAAACACGAAAATACAGAAGCAGCAGAAACAAACCTTTACAAAACCCTAAGCACAAACGCAAAAAAACTGCACCAAACAACCAAAAGTGGCCAAAACCACAGGAAACAAGCCTAAGCAACAACCCCACAATACGCCAAACAACGGAGAAAAAGGGCCCAGCCATGTGGCTGTGGTTGTCAAAACCGTTTTGGGATCCCGTTTTGGGGTAGGTGAATTCACCACCCATTTTAGGCTTCCTATTTTAGAGGTTGGATTGAATCGGATGTTCAGTGGGGGTACGATTTGGATTTTGACCCATGGCCAGCTGACCGCTTTGACGCGTCGGACAGTTTTTTACAACCAAGTTCAAAATCGACAGCATGAAAGTGGCACGATTCCAGCATCCAGTTTGGTGAAAGCTGTCGGCGCAAGTCCGGCTTCTGTTTTGGTGGAAGTCATTTTGTCACCCCTGTCACTTACTCAACGGTGCTGAGCCCACCTGTTTGGTCCCGGGCTCGCCAGGGCCGGTGGTCAAAGCCATGCCCACGGTGCCCAAAGTGTCCACGGAGCTCTGGCCCCGGTCAGGGCTTCCTATGCGTGGCGCACTAGGTTCGGACGCAAATGCTTCGAAAAAAGACGGGCGCCATTTGGATGTTCCTGATTTGTCTGGGCTTTGCATCCTTCCCCGACGCCTGCGACGCCTGCGAAATTGCTTCGGTTGGGCCATTTCGACGGTTCACATGCGTGGGGCATGATACGAGGATTTGTTTGAAGCGCACTGAACGATGCCGGCTTTCCGTCCGCCGTTCAAGGCCTCCAAGTTTGTCCCATTTTTTGGCATCAAGTAGCCTTTGGTGCTGTCCGGGGCTTGCAAAACTGGAGAAGCAAAGGCGTTTCTTTGGGGATACTCTGGTTGGATTATTTGAAGGGAGACCAACTGGGTAAGAACGCTAGCCGTGTCGCACTGCCAATTAGCACACAGAACGCAGAGATTGCAGGGAGAACATGGACCATTGGAGCAAGTAGCCCGAGAGCACACGCAGAGCAAGTAGCACATGAGCACATGCAGATCAAGAAGCACAAGAGCGCACGCAGAACACGAAACATGAGAGCGCATGCACATCAAGAAGCACAAGAGCGTGCGCAGAGCAAGAAGCGCGATCCAGAGCAAGTTGCGCGAGACAACATGATGACGCGCAGCAGGTAGCGCGAGAACAAGCCAGCAAAAAGCAGGAGAGAACTCGAAAGCGAGAAGCACGCGAAGCAAAATTGCGGGGGACCCGCGCAGCAACTTGCGCGAGCGAGGACCTTTCCCACCTTTTTGACACGTGCGCGCGCGACCGTTTGCGGGGATCAGCCTGGCCGATGGCGCAAAAACTGAGAACTTCGGCGACTTGTTGCGCCCGCGGCCCTCCGAAGATCTCCCAAGTGCAGGAGGAGCATGCGAAGTGCACTCGTGCAGCCCCAGCATACAGAAAGAGGTGTACGGAAAAAGCTTGTGCATGGAAGCTTTGGCACAGAAGCTTTCGTACAGACCTTGGCGGGCAGACATTTTCACAAGCACTTCACCAGCATATTTTGCTTAGCTGAGCGTGGCGGGTAAGAAGCTAAGACACATGTCACTTGGTTTTGCAAAGCTTCGTAGAGACCCATGCGAGCATCTGTGCTTGCACGTTGCGCGCTTAGTGCTTGGACGCTGCGTGTTGTGCTTGCGCGTTCTACTCTTGACACATATGAGGCCACTAAGCCTGCGCGCTTGGCGGCGGCAGCCTCGGGTTGACAACGTGCCCGTGGCAGTGGATGAGGCCAGGGTTGCGTGTTTGGGGTCGGGGCAACTGGGAGCCCGCCTGGGTTGATAGATGAAATGGGTGTCTCGTTTAAGAGGGGATCCTTCACTTTTGGGGAGAGGCGCCCTCAACAAATCCCGCTGTTTTTTTCTCAACATCCGACATCTATTAGTGCCAAGCTGGGGTCATGCCCAGCTTGCCCTGAACGGGAGTTTCAGATGTGGTCCGTTTGGCCTTCCTGAGGCTGGAGTTACGCTCCCTCAGGCTAGCACGGAAGGCCTCTGTACATGGAACCAAGTCTTCCAAAGTTTAGCCTGGGGGATTTTACCAGCTCTTCCACAGGGGTCCGTTCGGGAGCTTTTTTGTCGTCTGGGGGCAGGGTATTTTAGCATCTCAAACCGCCGAGGCGCATGAAGTGGGACGTCTGAAGACCAGCGGCTCAGCAGATGGTTCAGAAGTTTCGTTCGCCATGCGCGGGGATCTCCCTGCATGTTTTGGTCCCGTACTGTGGATGGACGAAATCCATTTCGCACCACTTTGAAACCATGGGAAACCGTTGTTTGTTGGTATTTACAAGGGAATTTTCCAGGGTTTCTTAGGTGGTGGAGGGTTTCGTCCATCCACAGTACCGTTAAATCCGTAGCAGCAGCGGAGCACTTTCAATCCCGGTTTCGTCTCGGCGCACTTCTCAAACGATGTCTTCGACCGGCGAGCCTTCATTGTCTTGTTTGGGATGTCGCCCAGCGAAGTTTTGAGGACCGTGCCATGAGGACCCAGCGAGGCTCTGATGGAAGCTGCCCGAGAAAAAAACCGCTTGGATCCATTTCCAAGGGCTCAGATCTCAGGAAAAAACGAGGCGAGGATGCGTGGTGTGTTGCTTTAGAAATCTGCATCCGACCAATTCGAGGATGCGTGAAACACCGGACAGAAGGTATCTTGGACTTGATGGACCCCTCCAAGCAGCGGAAGTCGTGTTGAGCAGTTCAAAGCCCAGCCGAGCTAGCCCTAAGTCTACACCCGTGCAACCCGCGAAACATTCCGAAGTGCCCTGCGACTTCTAGAGCGCGCGGACTTGGACTTGAAGGGACCTGGGAAAGGCAAGTGCCCGCGAGAGCTAGTCGCTTGCGCTGGCTCGGACCCTTGGCTTCTTGGAAGGCCACCAATGGGAAGGGCTGACAGCTTAAGGGCGCCAGGAAACTGGGGCGCTGGCCCGAATTGGGACATCGCAGGCTCGGTAGATGTTTTGGGATGGGTTTTAAATGGACCACCCAGAAAAAACGCCACCAACTCTGGCAGTTGCCGGGATGGTCCGGAAAGGAAAGCCCCGCAGCCGATTTCGAGGTTCCCCGAACCCTGAGACACACGAGGCTTAGATGAGCTCAAGCGGGAGGTGTTCCTCTTGCAAGACCTCCTGGAGGAGGACAGCCAAACGATCTGCACCCAAGGGTGCAGTGGGTGGTGGAAGAGTCCCCTGCTTTGTTGACATGGAGCAACTGAAAACACGCAAAAAGAAAAAACGGCAACTAAAACAAGAGGGGAAATCCGGCTGGGGGAGCGTTTCGAGGCTTTTATATGAATGGGCGGGACGTCCTATCAGCTGAATCCACTTTTGCAGCAGGACGCGACTGAACTGGTGGAAGGTGTCAGGGCCATTCGCGCAGCTATGCAGTCCCGCAGGCTGAGATGGTATGCATCAGC